TGAAAACAATCCACAGGACTTTCTGTCCATCTATCCACTATGAGAAGACAACTCAACACTATGAGTCTGAAAGGATGTGTAGCTGTCAAAAAGCTCTTACTGAGAAAAGAAAATAAACAAAAAGAAAATTTGCATTAGAACATTGAAATTAGACATCTAAAATAAGGAGTAATGTTTTATTGACTGAGGAATCAAAATTTATAATTGGGTTTACTTGGATTTTGGGAAGCAGAAAATATAACCAACTTCTATGAATGGGCTTTGGAGGTGTAGAAAAATATCCCTGCAACAACTGAAGGCAAGTCTCCCAAAAACAATGGAAGGTGTACATATACACAGTACATACTGAAAAAGTTGATATTATATTTAATTGTTAAGGTTTCCATGTAATTTGTCGTTAAATATATGTTTTCTGCTTTTTTTCTGATGCTGAAAATTCAGAAACATGTAATTTATAATTTTTTCCAATTTTCTCCCTATTTTAGTCAGATCCAATTCCACCCAGCAGGCCATCCACTAGTTAGGACTCCCCCAAACACATAACTGTGCTAAGGGGGTAAAGGCAAACACAAGTCATGTGAAGCCAGCCAGCACTTCTTTTCGAAATGCTGCTAACACAGCGTTGATGAACAGCTGAACATGCTTGGAGGAGAACACTAACCACTAGTTCTGTTACATCACTTAAAAGATGCCTGCGGTAGCCATTCTACCAACCCAAATAGAGCGAGGCCAATTGTGACTCCGAGGCACACATGGCTGTAGCATCACCATGGTTCAAACTTGCGATCCTGATGATAGGGCCAGCGCTTGTGCCACTCAGGAGCCTAGTTTCGGGCTTTTTTGACTTGATATTAAATGAATGAAAGGTCGGTCTCTGACTTTTGCATAGTACTGTATTTCATGACAAATGGACCGCTAGTAAAGGTCCAAAATTAATCTTGTTACGTTAGTGTACATTGAAGTTCAGAATACCTTATGTTCTATAAAATTAGGAGGGAGATATGAGGGTTTATTACTATAGCAACAATAACCCTAGCCAAAAAAGAAAAAAAGAATGTACGAGTGGATGCAATGTTGTGGAATGTCTTCATCAATTTTTGGCACTGTGTAAATGAATGAAATAAGGGCTCATAAATGGTTAATGGACTTCCTGTCTCCAGAAGAGCACCATTGCTGGCCTGCTGCATGCAAACAATGGTGATTAAGCAATGGATTAAAGCTTCTCATGAATAATGAAAAGCTATGTGTTTTCCCTGCTTCCTGTCTTCTTTCTCTAATAGCCACATTAAAAGCTGTTTACAAGTCGGTGGTGAGAGGAACTGAGAGAGAGCCCTTAATGAGCCAGAGAGAGAGAGAGACAGAGAGAGAGAAAAAGAGAGAGAGAGAGAGAGAGAGAGAGAGAGAGAGAGAGAAGCTGTGGTCTTCTCCAAATTAGTTCTCCATGTACATATATATGGCAAAGATTCAGAAGTACAGCTTCTGGTGGCAGATGTCCGAGAGAAAGAGAGGGAGAGAGGGAGCAAGAGAGAGATCCCACTTGCATGCTTTATGCCAGCAGAGAAAGACAAGGGAGAGAGAGAGAGAGATGCCAGTTGATCAATGAGTCAATGAGGTTCTTGAAGGAAGCCTGTACTGAAAGTGTCTAATTATGAAGGCCATAAAAGGCCTGGCTCTGGACCTGCATAGTAATTAAGGAAGTAGAAGTTAGAGGAGCTTGCTTAACTGTGATCCCCATTCACCCGGTGCAATGTGTATGACCCCTGCATTCTTTATACATGAAGCTACTCATATTACCAAAGACTACTCAGCATACAGGGATCAATATTCTGTCTAATACACTTGTCTGTGAACTCATTTGCAAAAGGTTTGTTGATCATAATCCATATAAACTTTTTAATTTAGCTCACATGCTACCTGTACTCATAGTATCTGATTACTTGTGCTTGAGAGGGTGAATTTTTCATCCACAGTGTTACCCTATGGCATACACACTGGCCAGCACAATTCCATCAAAATGTCCCACTTCATGACCACTTTCAAACCAAATAAATGGCATAACTCACTAACAAAAGTGCCAGATAGGGAGTCCAACTGACATTGTCAAACATAAAAACTACTGAGCTGAGCATAAAATTAAGGACCAAAAAGGGTTATTTGGAATAAATGACTTCTGATGGACATGTTAATGGACAGTGCCCACTCTCTGATTTTAATCTGCCTATTTTCTGCTATATAATATAGAACCAGCTGTTTCTTATGTGATTTGTGGTAAATCTGTTAGTTTCACCAATATGCACGTTATATTTTAAAGATTACTTTTTGTTAAGCTTTTTGTTAAGACATTTGAATGTATGAGAATTCATATACATTTTTAAGGTGAACTAAACGTGCATGCATCCACAGTTAATTGGATTTATGCCATAGAAGAACCACACTGTTTAAAAAGTGGTTCTTCAAGAGTTTTTGGTAAAGACAATGGTTATATAAACACTGTAAACACTCAAAGAACCATTTGAATGCATAAATGGTTCTTTAACCTCTTAAAATTCTTTTCTGCATCCTAAGGCTTCATCTCCAATCATTAGACTATGTAAGTCTACAATGCAAAGTTATTCTTAAACTATAGAAATGTGAAATAAAAATCCACACCCACCCATTTTGTTAAGAGTACAATTTTTGTTTGGTTTTGAAGAGCCTTATTAAAATGTATGAAACCTCTACTTAATGTAAAGCGTATACCAGTTAAATGTTTTTTTTTCCCCAGAATGGTGCATCCAAGCCAAGAACCATTTAGGAACCTTTATTGCTAAGAGTGTAGCAAGGCAATTGACATTGACAAACAATTTAGCTACCCGTCTTCTATTCTGACGATATCATTGATTAAGGTGCTTGGCAGACCACAGGAATGTTTGACAGTTTTCACCAAATAGATTTTAAAAAAGTCTAAGTTTAGAGGATTTTTACCAAGATGATTTAAAATAAACAAGGTATAAACAGGAAGCCCTGTATTTAAAAAGCACTTACAGTAATTGTACACTACATACTAAAGCCACTTGCAACTGCCATCACTGAATCACTGCATGATTACCATTTCTATACTTGTTTTGAGTGTTTTTTCTTTGGCACTTTCCTGATCTTGACACTGTTTCACAGGAAAACTGGGACAGGACAACACCATACAACTGAAACATAGGTTGTTTTTCTAGGAACTGTAATCGATAGCTCATGTTGAATATACAGCAATGCAGCTAATAAGTGGCTCAAAAAGCTGTATCTGTTGATGTTTGACATGCACCTGGTTTATTTCAAAGTACTGAAGATGGCCTATTTATAGACTACTACTCAGTAGCCTAAACCTATACTTAAGTAAAAGGTTTGTTATTTCAATGAACCACTGGCACAAGTATAGCAAGAAATTTGAGAAAAATAAGTTATGTGATCCAAAAACTGAATACTGAGTCAAGTCAGTAGAACCTGTTGGTACATCCAGCATCTAACAGCATAGAAACTGAAGATTGTTATTATTATCAATGTTTTTTAAAAAATATAAAAAGAAGCACAAATCCTCCAAAATTGCACTCAAGGACATGTAACTGAGTAACTGTTGTCACTGCCTACTTAAGGTGATAACAATATGCGGTTCACAGTCTTAGTTTTTGATTCTGAAATGTAAGATAAAACCAATCTAATCAAGTAAAACTAATCAAATAAATCTTCTAGGAATGCTGCTGAATGCAACCACAATGTCTCCAAAAAGTGGACTCATTCAGTGAAAGAGAGCAGTACAGTTTTCCTTACAGCTTTCAGACATGTTTACAATTACTGTAAAAGCTAAAGTAACGTAAGGAGTTACCTACACAACCCATCCTCCTCATAAATCATTTGTAAAGGATGCGTAGTTCAGTCTTGCTGCAGGCAACAATGAGCAGTTCAAAGCAGAAACAAGTGTTCCTACATTTTAACGTCATCTGATTTTGACTGATAATGCAGAATCTTCATCTTATTTACTTCTTATAGCCTTTTCATTCATTCTTATAGCCAAAATAGACGACTTCATGTAAGTGGACAGTGTCCGCTCTCTGACTTTAATCTCCCTATATTATGCTATATAATATACCTAACCAGGTGCTTCTTGTGTGATTTGCACACTTACGTCTGCACATTTGCACTGTCTGTACTGTCTTATTTTGCTCCGTATTACACCATGGTCCTGGAGGAACGTAACTTCGCTCCACTGAGTACTTGAACATAGATGGAATGACAATAAAAGCCTCTTGACTTGTGGATAAATTCTGCTCATTTGACCAATATGCACATTACACTTTAAAGACTTTTTCATTTTTGTTAAGCTTGAATGTATGAGAATTCATATGTATTTTTTAAGGTAAAGTAAACTGTGCATTATCAGGCTGAACTTAAACAGCTATGCCGAAACAGATCCAAACAAAATTGTTTAATAATGTTGTAGTTTCTTATTAAAACATGACCGTTTCAAATGAATGGGACAACTTTTGTGTCAAGCTACAAAAGGTTTAATTAAAAACAGGATAACCAGCCTAGTTCATGAGAATTTTATCAGGTCTTAGATTTTTTTAAGAAAAGATCTTTAGAGAAAATGGTGTTCAAATCTGCACTGTGCGTGGAATTCAAGCCAGTAGCACATAATACACCTAAACAGCCCTGAGTCTTCAGTTTTTCTGCCAGTTTCAGGTTTCACTCCCTGGTTTAAGGCAGAGAGGATGGAGGCTGTTGGGCTATGATCCGTTTTTTATAATGCAGTAAAGAGGCTGTCCCGGCTCAGCGCTCAGCATGAGGACAAGTGTGCTTTCCAACTCTGTCCCCATTGCACAGCAGCCCCGTTTGCTGTGGGTTTTTCATGCCTCATCCGCTCGACTCAACAAGGCAAGGCAGCCCAGGCTGTACAGCACAGTCAGTTTACCCCCATCAGCCCCTTCAGGTGGAGCTCAGCACACTCAGTCTACCCCTCATCTGTCCCTGCTGGTGGAGCTCAATGGTGAGCTGAAGAGGCTCGGGAACAGACGCTGTAGATGAGGGAGGCAGGAGAAGCCTATTTCTGCAGGGTGGATATAACGGTAAGAGCCTATACCATACGTCTCAGAGCTAAAAGTTTGCATGCAGCCTATTCTGGAAATATACGAGTCTCGAGGTTTGAAGGTATGAGTGAACGTGAACCGCATCCCTGTGTACACATGCTCGACTTCAGGTCTGTCATTTTGGTCTTTTAGCGAAGTGGGACGATAACAGGATTGTGGATTGTGGATTGAGCATAACGAGCGATGTTATAAAGAATTATACTGTATAAAATGGCTTTCTTTTTTTTGTTTTTCTTCGTATTTGTTTGGAGCAGAGCGCTGCGTAAAGAAGTTTCATACAAACACATTCGTACTTTATTTGCATGATGACGTTTATTAGAAAGATGAGAAAATGCTTGTCTTCCTCTAATTAGCTACTAATAATCTAATTATCTTGTTATTTCGACCAGGTTGCTAACAGTAACTGCGCTCTTGAAAGCAAACGTGATCCGTTCTTTCTGTTTTTTACGACGAATCAAATATTGTTGCGATCTCCGGCTTTAGTTTCTTTAACTTTTATTTTACTTCGCCCTGAAAGGGAGAAAGTGTCCTGAAAGGGATATAGAATGAATTATTGGCGATCTTTCATAAACTATGACTTTTTTCTTTGAATTCTTTGCTTTGAATTCTTTGCTTCGTAAATCTGTTCTTATTATATCATTGCAGACCAGCTAAAGAACATATATGGAACGTACAAATAACACTGAATAATGTAATGCTGTATATTTTATTATTAATCTCGTTTTTTTTTATTGTGTATAGGCTCAGAGCAGCCAGTTGAATAAAGGTACAAATATGGAAATATTGAATGTTTATTCTTTATTTTGCTGTATTTTCAGGTGAAATGTTGGTGTATTTCTCTTGAGTCCATCTGATGCTGCAGAACGAACTGGATTACAGAACAACGCTGACAATCCCGAGTCAACAGCTGCTAAGGTGCGTAACGTACATTGTTTCAGTTAACTTATTATTTTAAGTGATCCGCAGCCTTAATGAATCAAAACTATCATTTCCAATTCTTCGTCTAGCTGTTAGCTTTGTCAGTGTTTCTCCCACTTTCCTTTGTGTCTATGCACTTATGCCTTATTTTTCACTACTTCGAGCTGTTGATGGGTGTTTATGAATGTATGTGTCATCTTCACTTATAGCTAAAGAGTTTAGAGGAGCATAAGCTGTCTCACTGGTTTGGGAAACTTATTATGAGAGCAGCAGCCCGTTCAGCATTCATAAAATATTTTGTTGTATATTGTTTATATATGTATATATATATATATATATATATATATGTATATATATATATATATATAGTGTATATAATATGGTTCATTTATACTGCTCATTTTGGGGTATATACAGCGACCAATATTAATAAAGAATGGCTGCTAATGGATAATGATGCTACACTGTAAACTGTACCATTAACGATTTACCTAAAACAAATGCCACAGACTACTTTTGATCAGACAATCAGGGGTGCAGTGTGGGTAAATTTAACACGGCACAGTCATTTGTGACTTCTGCAATATATCTGTTTGAAAGAATCTGAATAGTGGACATGGACACAACCCTGTAACACAGTAATCGTTTGTATTTCATTTAAATTTGGAGGGCGAGTTCTAGGTGAGGTCCGTGACGTCAGAGCGACGAAAGCGCCTCACCTGAGTTCCAGTATGGGTAATGTTCAAAAGAAATTTGAAAATTAAGATTAATTTTTATCTATGCTGAAAAGTGACGTGTATTTAGGTCTGCTCGTTAAAACGCGTTCGGGTCTCGAGCTAAAAGCTCTAAATATGGATCCCAACTGAGTGTGCTTTGCGTTCAGCTCGTGTTTTTGGCTCCTAATCAAACCTAAGTGAGGTGTTTTTTTAATATATACGTGTTTTGTAAAGTGGTGTTAGCTTAAGAAATGAGGAATGCAGTTTTTAAAGCGCGCGATTAATTTCACAGCGGGGTGTCATACGCACGCACGCACGCACGCACGCACACACACACACAGGCTGCGTCCAAAACCACATAATAAACTAAACGATAGATGCTATACGTACTTTATTAAAGAACATACTCCTAAAGGGGATATACCGTTTAAGGCTGTATGCGGTTTTGGGTGCAGCCACAAAAGCGTTAGATACGTGCGCACACACGCAAGCGAACACATTACATATGTTTCAGTGCATCAGGGAAAGTCATAATTTAATGATTCCCAAACAACAATCCAAGCTCTTTAATGTACAATATGATGAGGTCTTGTGTGAGAATGTCCTGCTGCTCTTTGGTAGCAACTCAAACGTGATTTATACAGACCGTAAGATATGTGGAAATTATGGAGGGTTCATAATATTAGAGTCATTTTCAGGGGCGAAAATAATCCATCCATACATCCATATTGTCTGCATATTGCATAGATTTTTATACTGACGCATGTTTGTTAATTATAATCACAATAGAGATATTATTCTGGCCCCAAGTTCTTAATTTTGGCCACAGCTTTCATTGGTTTGGTGGCCCTATACTCTTAAAAAAGATGGTTCTTCAAGGGTTCTTTTGTAAAAGCAATAGTTCTACTTAGAACCATGAGTTCTATAAAACTATTTAATGCTTAAATGGTTCTTTTCATTGTTAAAGTGTTCTTCAGGTTGAGAGTGTGTTTTATATGATTCTATACAGAACCTTTTTGAAAATGGTTCTATACAGCACCAAAAAGGGTTCTTTTTACAAGCTTGACATCGTAGCAATAGAACACTCTTTGGTGCCATGTAAAAAAGGTACTGTATAGATCCATATACAACACATTCTCAATCAACCTGAGGAACAATTTCACCATGAAAAGAACCATACAGGACCTATACAGGACCTCTTTGAAAATTAGTGTTCTGCTGCTGTCATAGTGTCGAACTTGTAACAAGAACATTTTTTGTTGCTATGCAGAAACATTTTCCAAAAGGTCCTGTATAGAACCATATAAAACACATTATCCATCAACCATTTCACCATGAAAAAAAAACATTTAAGCATGAAATGGTTCTATATAGAACTCATGGCTCTAAATAGATCCATCGCCTTTACTAAAGAACCCTTAAAGAACCAGTTTAAGTGTGCAGTGGCCAGTGTATTTTTACATATCTGTCTACCATCCATCCATTTATACATCTGTCATTCTTTCATCTGAGGGTGCATTATAAAGTCTCTTTAAGCCCACCCAGCATGCTAATGTAGCATGTAGCAGTTTGGTGTTGGCCTCAGTACTGGTCCTGTCTTAAGCCTGAGAGGAGACAAAGGCAGCCAGAGGAGCTCCAAATGAGTTTGAGAGGCCAGCAGATGGGACCCCATCCAACACTTCACCTCCACTCGTTCTCTATTAATCACGCCGCAGCGTTAGCACTGCCCTCAGACCTGCGAATGGGCCTTAAAGCTGGGAAACTCTGGCACCTGGCTGGCCTTTATTGTTAAGAAAATTCATTAAAACGCCGGCGTTTATGATCGTGTCCTTTCAAGGCCGTTTTCAGGGCCGAGGATAATTTTTAATAATTTCTTAGTTAGATCAATAACCTGGCAGACGGAATGTTATTGACGAGCTGGTTTGGCGATGAAAGATGTCTTCTGCTTTAAATGATCACTTTTAGCCCTTTTGCCATGCATCGATTGTGGCTGTACTGCTCTGATAATGATGAAAAAATGGCAGGTCGACGTTTGTCCTCTTTCCACTCTCCGCCTTCCTCCTTCTGCTTCATTAATAAGGGTCTATTATTCATATAGGCTGATCATCAGTGGTCTCCATGACCTTTAGATTCGGGCTGATTGGATACTTGGGCTGAGTGGAATAGGTTACAGGTGAATAACAGCAATGAACATTTTATTACTGTTATTGTTATTATTAATAAAGAAAGCTAATTAGGCCTCAGAGGCCAATTATAGTTCCTTAAATTGGTGGGCTAATTAATTGTGTTTAATACACACAGCGTAGCGCCTATGTCATCAGTTCAGAACAGAATAGTAAGCAGAAAAAATAATAAATATATTCGAAAATGTTTTTAGGTGTTATGGTCACCATCATGTTGGTTTTCATCAGAAATGTACAAAGTCTGTTTTGCTGTAGTGGCTTGTATTATCAAAATCCGAGTTTTAAACCGAATTATTAAAAAAAAACATTTTGATGAAACTAAATGTTCTTTGTCACAATACTGTGAATTAAATTATGTTTTTCCAAACATGATTCATATAGCAACAAGATTCCTATAGATTCCTATAGAGTATTAAGGACTGTCAAGGCCCACAGCAAAATAAGATTTCTTTCTTTATATTTTAAACTAACTGCCCATGTATCAACCGGTGCAACTGCAGACTGATCTTTCAACTTCTAACAGTAAGTAACACGGTTGCCTTCAAAATTTCAGTTCACGTAAACATTAATAGTCGGTTAACGACAACAACTAATTTAAACTAATTTAGACGAGAATTTAAATCTAGTTCGACTTACCGAAAGAGTGAGAGCTGTAAAAAGGCTGAAATATGACTAAAACAATGTTTTACGGTGTATTTTTTACATCTTCCGTTTACATTTTGCAGCTAAACGAACCTGAGCGGCCGTTAGTTAAACGTCACTTCATTCTGCGCGAGGTGGTTCTAGGCGCGAAGGCAGAGCCAATCAGCTGCTCTAAACAGGGCGCGAACGATCCCTTCTTTCCCGCCTGTATTCCGCACAGGCCCCGACCCCGCTGCCCTAGTATTGGGTAAGCTCTCCGCCGATTAGCCGTTTTCCCGTGAGTATGAAATACTGGCCAATCCCAGCGCCGGAGGTGCGACACTACAAGCCAATCGTAGAGCAGGGAGGCGGGGCCTGTCTGTATACGGGTGGGGAAAAAACAACGCCGCTGGCAAGGCGGCTTTTAGAGCGAATAAGGCAGCACTTACTCGCTCATTCGCTCGTGTTAACGCGACCGAAATACGGAGCTTCGCGTTTCGGTGGAGCTTTTTTGTTTTTCCTGTCGTGTTTACTGAGTTCAGGTCGACTGTTAAACCTTGTCGTAGTAGTTTGTGAAGGAGAGACGGTCATGCTTCACATTTTGTAGCGGTTTTGGAGATCTCCGAGCGAACACGGAGCTCAGGTGGGGGACTTTAAACTTTCACAGCTTTCTGTTAGCGATGTGGCGAAAAGGATGCGGTGATGAACGGCTCGAGCTTAGTAAGGGGTCGATCTGTTGTTGGACTGTGTGAAATAGTTTTTGCTATTTTGTATAAAAGGTTTTCTAACAGCCTGATGTAATGCCCCAATTATGACTTAGTAATAATAATAATAATAATAATAATAATAATGTCATACCTACTATTATTACATTTTATTTCTAGATTTAATAATAATAATAATAATAATAATAATAATAATAATAATGGTGACGATTAATTATTATTATCATTGTTATTATTAACTCGTAAAAGATCTATTACTGTCTTTTACAAATATTTGCACGTGTCTGTTTAATTAAATAGATCTGTGCAAATAAGTGAGTCATTTAAAAATGTCTATTTAAAAATGTTTTTTTGTTTATTAGATTGAAAATCTTTTTTAAAACTCTAGCTCGGTGTTAGCCTGATTTTTAAAATTGTGATTTTATTATGGGCACTTTATGTAGTTTTTCAATGCGCGCGCATTGTAAATACATTGAAAGTTTTTAACTTACTTATTGTTTAGAATTTATACCGATTAGTCTTCATAACCACTTTTGGAAAAAAATATCATACGCAGATTACTGGGATAAAACGAACAGCGCGCGCTTTTATTTTAATTTATAATAAAATCAAAATACTTTTGCTGTTAGAAATTTATACAAATGTCCTACAAACCCCCCCCCCTTTCTATTTAATGAGGCTTTTATTCTTTAGATTTTCAATTTTTAAAATCATAATTGAATAAAAAACATCTCATTTTTCTGAATAACACAAATGCATTCCTGACTTTTGTTTTCTTTTATATTATCTTATATAAAAGTCACTGAAATGCTTTTCCCTTTTTTTTTGGTCCACAGCTGCAACCAGTTTCATAGTTAAGGTTTCCAAAAGATGGACAAGGGTCTTCTCCCTGGACCCAACGACCTAGTTATGGCTACACCCCCCAGCTCATTCCAGCAAGAACCTCTCACCCCACCCAGGTCCAACCACTCTTCCTCGCTCAAGCCCAACCAGGTGGGTCAGGTCATTCTGTATGGGGTACCCATCGTGTCCTTGGTCATCGATCACCAGGAGCGCCTGTGCCTGGCTCAGATCTCTAACACCTTGCTGAAGAACTACAGCTACAATGAGATCCACAACCGGAGGGTGGCTCTGGGCATCACATGTGTGCAGTGCACCCCGGTTCAGCTGGAGATCCTTCGGCGGGCTGGTGCCATGCCCATTTCATCCCGCCGCTGCGGCATGATCACCAAGCGTGAGGCCGAACGGCTCTGCAAGTCGTTTCTGGGTGAGAACTCGCCACCCAAGCTACCTGACAACTTTGCGTTCGATGTGTCACACGAGTGTGCTTGGGGCTGCCGAGGCAGTTTCATCCCGGCCCGTTACAACAGCTCCAGAGCCAAGTGCATCAAATGCTCCTACTGCAACATGTACTTTTCGCCCAATAAGTTCATCTTCCACTCGCATCGCACACCCGAAGCCAAGTACACACAGCCTGATGCTGCCAACTTCAACTCCTGGCGCCGACACCTCAAGCTGACCGACAAGACGCCTCCAGATGACCTGGTGTTTGCTTGGGAGGACGTGAAGGCCATGTTTAATGGAGGCAGCCGCAAGCGGGCGCTGCCTGGAACCCACTGCCCTCCTATGGACTCAGTAAAGGCTGTGGGCTCTGTGCTGCCCCACGTGATCTCATCAGACCTGGGGCAGAAGAGAGGCCGGTACGAGGAGGAAGAGGAGCTGGACGCTGGTGGCCTTTCGCCCCGGAAAAATCCACGCAGTTACCCAGTCATTCCCGTGCCCAGTAAAGGCTTCGGAATGCTGCAGAAGTTTCCACCAACATCGCTCTTCCCGAGCCCCTACACCTTCCCAGCTTTTGGCCTATGCCAGCAGAAGAAGGACGATGGCGAGCCGGCAAATGGCCAGAAAAACAGCGGACTCTCTGGGCTGCTGTGGCCAGGCCGCAAAGACGCTTTTTACCCTCCTTTCTGCATGTTCTGGCCCCCTAGGGCAACGGGTGGCATCCCGGTGCCTACGTACCTCCAGCCACAGCCCAATGCTCTCTCCACACTCACAGAGGCGCCCTCCTTACGGCAGGCCTTCCTGGACCTGTCCGATCAGAGCGAGACTGGTACTGTTGCTGGACTGGGAGCCAACCCCAGACCAGGGCTATTTGAAAGCGAGTGCCCGCCCGTGACTCCACCTGACCTGCGGCCCACCGCCCCTGAAGGCTGGCTCAAGCTGCTGGACGCCCCCTCTCTGCAGGCCCGCAAGGCCAGCTACCACTCCTCTGCCTTCCGGCCGGTGGTGAAAGATACTGAAAGCATCGCCAAGCTGCACGGCAACCTTGAGGACCTAGGGGCCGAAAGGCACCTCTCACCGGGCACCAGCTGCAGCTACCAGAGCGAGAGTGGAGAGAGCGATGAGGAGCAGGAGGTGGATGTGGAGACCAAGCAGGATGAAGAGCTGGAAGACTTTAGCGGCCTGAAGCAGCAGCAGCCAAGCACACAGCAGCAGCAGCAGCCGTGCAGCCTGCACCTGCGGGGGCTCACTGACAGCAGCGCTGGGGAACGGGATAAAGACACGGCCCCCTTCCCCCCCACCATCCCCTCTGAAAGCTCTGCAGAGGACAAGCCCAGCCTGCCTGTCAGTCCGCCCGCCTCCCTCAAAGTCCCCAGCCCCGTTCACGCCTCACTGGAGGACACCGCTGCCGCGTACAAAAATGTAAATATTCCCTGCAGGCACTTAAACTAATTATTATTTAAATGCAGGCCACAGACTGGCGGGATCGCCACGCATAACGAGATTGATAGCCAGGCGCTCCCTGCAGAAATGAAATATTCAGAGTGCTTTGATCCCTCCTAATAAGCCCAGTCGTGTTTTGTTTAATGGCGACATTATATTTGCTCTCCTTTTGTCACTCCCGCCTATTAGCCCTTTTAGTCTTTAACCTGACGACACTACATTAACTGAGGGAGCTGGAGGAGTCACTCGCAGCTACAGAGGGGGGAGAGAGGGGAGCTAGTTTCAGCACATGCATACTCTGACACTAAGCCTTGTACATGCACCTCAGTCATTAACCAAACTGGCCTATTTTGATACAAAACATTTAAAGAAAGTGCAGACAACAGCTCTGTTATCTTCAAGGCCAATAGTGCTTGTGGTTTGCTCAGGTATGCGTATAGTGTGGCCTGAAGAAATGAATCAGGTCTAATCAGATTTTTGTGGTGCTTTATGTTTGCAGTCGCAGAAAAGCAGAGAGGATGGGCTGCCGGCCTACGCAACCAAAGACAAAACAGCACGTGCAGGTGAATGGCACTTAACAATACAGCAATACAGGAATAATGACTTCATGTATTAAGCGGTATAAGGCATAATCCAGTTGTTATAGTCAAGAATAGTAACTTTGAAGGAGCACTTAGTGGAGGGCATTGTTTATAAGGCTACACAACACCTGCATAAACCTTTCATGACAACTTACATAAATCTTGACTTCAGAATAGGCAAGAGCAGCCTTTATGACAAGTGATACTTGTTTGAATAAGCCTTTATAAAGGTTTGTGTCAGTTGAAAGGCTTATGTTGGTGTCATGTAGCCTTATGAATGCTGACCTTCAGTATTTTTATTTAAATACTGTTGGCATCCAAGAGTTTTTTGCTTACACTTATGAAATGATTGATGCAAGTAAGTCTCTTAGAACAAACACAGAGGGCTGGATTAAGCCATGTTCTTGAAAGAGGGCCAGACTGAGCCAAGTCTCTAGAATTCTCCATTGAAAAATCTTTCCTTTTCATACAAACTGGACTAAATTGGCTTAAAAAAGCACCCTAGAGTGACAGGCTTACATCTCCAGGCTGACTCTCCTTTCATGCCATTAATACCGCTCCGTCCTCTTACAGAAGAAAGCAAAGAACAGAGCAGTTTCTTCCTCCCGGAGACGGAGACAACGGCGCCAGAATACTGGAGGGAGAACACAGGTAAATACTTCATCACTGTCACCCCACTAAAAAAAAAATAATAATAGTAATAAAAGAAAACATCCAACACTTACAGCTACAAAATAATTTGAGCATCCCTGCAAGGATTGTAGGATTAGACTAAATATAAAAGCCAGAATGGAATATATACTCAACTCCAGCCTCACTCTGGAAATGGAGCAGTTCTCTGCACAATGTCATTGGGAAAATGTGTTCAGTGGGGAGCCATAACAGTTCAAGAAGACAATCAGCTCTGCGCATTGAAGGTGACAATCACCATTTGAACAATATCAAATGGATATAATTGCCTTTTGCCTGGCAAAATCTTCCATTACAAAGATCATAGCTTATTGCCTTTTATCTGTCAGGGAGACATTAAAAGTGTTTTACGACATCTATGCCAACATTTATATTATCGAGCCGATAATGATCTCCTCACATAACGTATAATATGTTTGAAAAAAATTACATGAAACAAATTAAATGAAACCACCTTTGCCTGATTGCTAAATGTCTCCAAGGGGCTGGTGGGGGAACGTGATTAGAAGTTCTGATTTCCGAGTCTAAAGGCAGTGTCTTAAAGAGAGCTCTGTTTCTTGGGAGAGAGAGAGAGAGAGAGAGAGAGAAAAAAATAATCTAATTTTCCATTTATGTAATGCAAACTGCCTTGGCTTTGACTATTCACGGTTAATTGACTGTCAAACGAGGTTGTTATCCTCAGGCAGTGTCTGCAAATTTGCTTGTCAAATGAGACAGAGAGAGGAGGAGAGCGAGAACAAGCCCGCTTTCCAAATGAGGAAAGCGTTGTAAGGCTTAAGGAGGCAAGACGTGAAATAGAGAGAGAGAGAGAGAGAGAGTGAGAGAGAGAAACGAGGGGGGGATTATATACACAAATGTGCTGGATTGCTTCATTTAAGGCATTTGATTTGCGGCGCAGCACACAGAGAGCATGACACCCCCACATTGCCAATATACTGCAGAGGTGCAATACGCTTAATATGGCAACTCCTAAGGACATGCAGGTTATAATAATTTGATATCTCAGTGCAATAACAATCATAAAATCAATAATATGAAGGACCTTATCTTCAGAATAACTCCCCGTAGATGAAATTGCTGTCGTTTTAAAACAGGCAGACACATATTGGAAGACTTATGCCTTTTTTAGGTACTCTGATCAGCATGGGTGTTTGATTAGATGCTCATAATAGTAGATTATGGACTTTTCACTGAACTGAGCCAATATTTTCCAATGTGGATACCTGACACATGATCATTTTAGTTTCCAGTAGTGCTTAAAATATAAATATACCAACCATACCTAATAATAATACAGTATTAAGGGTGATTAGTATATAATATCCTTTGAAAATCTATTAGATAGCACTGCTTCTAGTATAAGAAATGAAAACTGGACTGTTGTGGTTGTTTCTCAGACCCGCTTTCTATATGCCGCACAGCCTGATTACAGCTGCACAGTCTGATTGTTGTTAGACTGACACCTACTGGTCATTAAATGAAATGCATTTCTGATAACTCTGCCCTTGCAGTTTAATCCTCTTTAAAAACACATATGAGAAATATAATGAATTTTATATTTATCTGTGCATTTAGAATTTATGCACATATTTTTTCTGTTCTACAGCAGAGCATAGTCAAGACCCACATTCACCTGCTTCACTCAAGAAAGACGTGGAGAACATGGAAAAAGGTGAGGTCAAGAAAAAGCTTGATTGTCAAAGAAACTAATAGGTTAAGCTTATAAATAGCCTTCATTCATTTCCGTAGTGTCTCAGAGTTGTACTGATTTTAAACCATTGGCTCTAGCTAATGTCTTAGTACCTAGGATATCTTCTCAGATTGTGGTTTTGATTTGTGTTGCTTTTCATTCAGAGGAACTCCAGAAAGTTCTCCTCGAGCAGATAGATTTACGGAGAAGACTGGAGCAGGAGTTCCATGCCCTGAAAGGCAGCTCACCCTTTCCCGTTTTCCGTAAGTTCAAGTCAGACTTCAGACAGTTTCCCGTTCTTCCACTCGGGGCTGAGCATTTGGAAACCAGTGTGCATCACTGTGCCTCTGCATAATGCTCCGGACTCAATAACAGAAAGCCAATACGAGCTTGTTTTACAAGCTGCCCCTTTAACAATAACAATTTTTGCTAATAGGAATTAGATGAGTAACAATCTGTGCAGTAATGGTCAATGAGGAAACTGAGACTCATTTTTATTTAGTCGGCCTCATTTTCATACAGTTCTTTTCTCCTTCAGACAACTTTCAGGACCAAATGAAAAGGGAACTGGCTTACAGAGAGGAGATGGTGCAGCAGCTACAGATGGTGAGGATGCTGTAATATTGTATAATCATTTGTGTAATCAAAACAACTAACAACTAGATGATCGTTTAAGTGCCTTAAAAATGCTATAATGGAAATTACTTAGCATCTGATACATTTAAATCTAAATTTCATAAATTCATAATATATACATATATATGATGTTTTGACATTCTCCTGTAAACCTACCAGTTTGAAGATACAAGGCTTTGTTCCAACAGCAATAATATATATATATATATATATATATATATATATATATATATATATATATATATATATATATATATGTAGAGAGAGAGAGAGAGAGAGAGAGAGAGAGAGAGATGTTGCTGTCTAGAACTGATTGAACTCTCTTTTGTAAGACTGAAAGTCACTACTACTAGCAGAAGGCCTTTGTTTGGTTCCATTTGAGTATCTTCAGTCTATCTGATATCTGATATGACTAGTAATGAGAAATAAAGTAATAATAATAATAATAATAATAAGTTTTATTTATATAGCACTTTTCATGCCAGTGGCAGCTCAAAGTGCTTTACAGACAGGTGATAAAACATAGTTACACAAGAAATTATAAGTATTTATTTTAGAATCAGAAGAAAATGACACAGATCAAATTAAAAGATAAATACCATGAGACGTAGTGTTTTAATGAAATGCTAAGTTAAAGAAATACGGTTTTAGATGCTTCTTAAAAGTGAGCACTGAGCTTGACTGTCTGATAAAAAGTGGAATTGAGGTCCACAGTTTAGAAGCATAATAACTAAAAGAGGCCTCTCCATGTTTTCTGTAATTTACAGAGGGTATTTGTAGAAGGCCACTAACTGCAGATCTTAGATTACGTGCTAGAACATAAACAGACAGACACTCTGTGATGTAAGCGTGCTCTAAGGTCATTTAGAGCTTTAAAATCTAGTAGCAGAACTTTAAAATCTATCCTGAATGATACAGGCAGCCAGTGCAGATCTTTTAAAATGGGAGTGATATGATCTCTCTTTTTTGTTTTTGTTAGGATGCGCGCTGCTGCATTTTGTATGAGTATAAATATAAATAAGTACAAAGATACTTGAGATTGTGTGATCCTTTTCAAAAAGTGAGACACCAAAACCACCCTGTAAGAAACACAATAAGCCTTTTAGTCTAGGACATGTAAAGACACCATGGATGTGATTTGTATCCATGGGACTGTACCTATTATGATTATGTGAAGATAAAATTAGGTTGTAGACAGAGTGACTGATTCTCATATAAATATTGTATTTTTTTAGATTCCCTATGCAAACATTATGAGAAAAGAAAAAGTTGTCACGCACCTAAACAAAAGCTGAATGGTAAGTATCACAAATCCATTTAATACCTTCATGCACTTTAATGTACATCCACATAGGGCCAGGCAGAGTTCATTGTGACTTGTTTAAAGTCAACCTGAAATCAAAATGGGCTTTTTACCATGTTAATTCATGTCTCAGCAGATACTGAACAATTTGTCATATCATATTATTTAAATGACATTTAAAAGACAACATTCTTGGTTTTCCATAATCTTTGATCAGAATGCAAAATGCTTTTTCCCACCTCCAAAACATTTTCAGATTTTTTATTACAAGCCCGTGCACCAGTGGGCGGAGAAAATAATATTAACTAATAATATCATGTATCATCCCCCACCACCACCCTCACCTATCATCAAGCAAAAATCGCTTGATGGTATAGCATGGCATAGTACAGGTATAGACGTTATGATATCTAATTCACTTTGATGCCCTGACAAAAGTGCTGCATTGGATTTACTTGATTTAAATGTGTACATTGGTTCCACATGATCAAAATACATTACATCAACACCCTTCTTGCCAAAAGTCAGTAAAATGAATGACAGTAATTGTGTTGATGTAATATATGTCATTCACATGGAACCAAGGTACACAAGTAAATTCAGAGCAATATTTTTCTTTTCAGTGTGGTTAAAACATACACGAGGAAAATGCCACTGTGCAGCCTCAAAGTAACCCAAATACACCATATTAATATCATAATGGGGTGGACTCTGGGGAGGTTCTCAGTGTTTGATAGACAGTGGCATCACTGTAACTGATATGTTGTTCTTCTTCTTTCAGGTTACTTCTGTATTTTATATGAAACCACGACTGGCTGTTCACAACCTCATCCCACATACATAGACATTTATCTGGATCTCTCTTGGTGACTCTAAGAAATACAGTAAAAGCAATCCCCTTGTTAAGGACGTTTATCAGACGATGCACAAAGTGCTTTCATCATCTGCTGATCATCTGAAGATACTGAATTATGTATGCTTCCCTGACCACACCGATGACAAGCCAACCCACAAATTCACAGTGCAAGTAGCTCTATCTTCTGCACTAGTGCTACATAACGCATCGTTAAAACAGCCACTTCCTGTACAGTGATCTCATTTTGCCTATTCATTTATGTATTTATTTATGTATTTAATTATTTATTCGTTTATTTATTTGTACTGAACTGTGTATAAATATACTGGCTATAGAAATACGGTACACATACAAAATTAATATCTGGGGGCAACACACAGCACATTTGCTCTACAGGCCTACTGGAGCTTATGGCTACGAGCAGCTGCGCAGGCAAGCAAACTTCTGCACTTGCTTGTTTGAATACAGCACTGACAAACTTCAAATTAAGAATGTTATTATTGTTAATGCAAATGTATTTAAATATGTTCTTGTAGTTTCTCTACTATTTATGTGGATAATAAAAGTCTATAACATGAGAAAAAGTTTTTTTTTAATATATTTTTATATTCCTTGATTTACCACTTACATTGAAATATCACATGTGACTTGATAGCAAATAAAGACCATGAGGAATGAGGTCACGCTAAAGATATTCTATTAAAACATGCCAGAAATAATTACATATTTTTATGTTACATATATTTTACATTATAGTATTACTGACACTTTAACTAATGGATTTGCCCCTTACATTGATATGTGATTTAATGGTAATATAGAAAAAGTACCCCTGAGGTTGAACATGAAATTTAATTCATATTTGTTGTATGGTAACACACATACAGTCGTATGCAAAAGTCTGAACACCCTTAGTTAAATGACGTTTTGTTGATTTTCTAAGTGAAAATAAGGATATATATATATATATATATATATATATATATATATATATATATATATGTGTGTGTGTGTGTGTGTGTGTGTATCAAAGCAATGTTATTTAACCAGGGTGCCTAAAATTTTGCATACAACTGTAGTTTAGCAGCTCAAAAAGGAAACATTCCCTGTCAAAATACATAAACATAACCATTAAGTGTAAAATGTAGTATAAAATAACTTTAAGCTCTAATTTAACCGTAGATCTTTTTTTCTGAGAAACAGAATTAAAGGGGAATTCCACCAAATTTCTACATAATTAAATGGTTAAGATGTAAACAAAGCCATTCAGAGTGGTTTGGTGTGAAATGCTCTGTTCTATAAAAACTTACAAAGTCAGAGTTGTTCACAGTGATGGTGACCAGACGTCTGAAGAGTTAAGGAGTCTAAAAGCTCCCTCACAGAAAATGATTACATGGAATTGTTAGATATACACTGCCTAATTCCTGAGACATTGTTTTATGCTAGTTTTGTAAGGTTTTGGCCTAAAACATTTATTTATAATGGAGAGGTACACGCAGAGTGTTGTAAGGCAAAATAGTCTCTTACATTTTTTTTTTCCAGATTTTCCACTATTTTACCATCATCAGCATTACATGTGAAACTCAAAAGACTCGTAGATTCACCGGTGGGTTTGGATAGTAAATAAAATGGCTATATTTATGGTGTAAACATAAATTCCTATCACCACCACTGTAAAGAAATCTGTTCTGTAACCTTCTCTACAGCGAGCCATTTTACAACAAACCCCTCTGAATGAATTGGTTTACATCGCAACGACAGAATCATGCAAAATATTTTGAGAAATCGATGGAATTCCCCTTTAAAACCGAACAAAACGAGCCACGTAACGTTAACAAGACTAAATTTTGCGTCCAACTGGCCAAACTCTTTTTCGACTTTTCCGTTCCATCCGCGATTGTAAATGGTACAACTGCTGCACCGTTTAAGGTGGACCGAAAAACAATTTTGATTAAGAAACTCTAAATAAACACCCAAAATAAAAGTTTCAATAAATTGCAATAAAAAGGGCCAAGCAGAGAAGCGCAACAGTTTTATTACAGTCCATAATATTTTCTTAAAATTCATTAATTAACATTTACCAAGAGGAGGAAAATAAATAAATTAATTAAAATATTAATAAAACAGGACGCAATCGCGCATGCGTGTGACGTAATCGCAGCAGAAGACGAGAAGTGCCAACATGGCGTTTACGCTGTACGCACTGATTCAAACAGCGATCTTGTTCACAAATGCGATCGCTGTGTTACACGAAGAAAGGTTTCTCAGTAAAAGTGAGTACTCTTCTACGTGTTTGTCTCTGCTATAACTCGGGGTTGTGTTATTTCGTGATAATGTGGTTGTAGACAGCTGATCAGACACCTCCCGGCTGGAGAGTTAGCAAAGCTGGCTAACAGAATAGACTGAAGTGAATGAAGATAGAACCACGGGTCTCTGTGTTTTAGAGCTGTGTGTTTTGTCTTATGTCTGGAAATGTTCGTCTCTCTCTCTCAATGCAGAAAAGCTTTCAGTGGGTTATACGTTGTATGATGAAAGGGTTACGTATTGAACTCAACTGCAGTAGATGATTGTAATGTTGAGTGCCAACTCACAAGTCTCTGTAAGGTTAGATGAAGAAGATGAAGGCCACTAAGTTACTAACCAGAGGTGGGTGGAGGACCCTAAACCCATACTCAAGTAAATGCATTGTTAATCCGTTAAAATAACAGTAGAAATTCAAAAGTACCAGATTAAAGATCTAGCTACTTAAGTACTGAGTTCCTTATGGACCTGCAGTGGAGCTTCTTAGTACAGTCTAGTATCTAATATAGGAACAGAGGTTTGTAAGGCTCTCTTCTCTTTTTGGGATCTATTTGGTCTAAAGCTCCAGAGTTAGAGGCATAACCAGTTGCCAAGCAGTACATATGCTATCACTAGGGATGGCATGATACCTCCTCCCCCCGATACCGATATTATAAAGTGGAGTATCAGCCAGTATTGATCTGAGATTTCTTCTTTAAGAGTACTAAAATGTAAATGAGAGATTTTTAGAAGAGTCACTTTAGCTAAGATCAACGTTTAAAAGTCAGCTATCATGCTCAGACTGTTCAAACTACTCTTCTACTCTTCTACTGCTACTGATATTCACTCCAGCTTTTTCTTTTAATATCGCCCTGATACCATTGCCTAGTATTGGATCGGTGCTATCTCTAGCTATCAGTAATGAAACATATCAAAATTAACCAAACATTAAAAAAGAAATGAGTAACTACATGATGACACATGGAGTTAGCTAAACCATAGATCACTTTCCTTACAAACGTACTTCAGTAAAAGAAATATTATCATTTGTACAATGTATTTTCACGTAGCATCATTTGAAAATACCCAGAAACTACTAACCTAGTTAATTTAGGATCAGTGGCACAGCTATATTAAGCTGTCACTTGTTAATCAGACTATGCCACAGTATGCACTGTATCTGCTGGGTATTTTTTAGCTTGAGTTGCAGTAACAACCTAAGCATGTTTTAAGACCTTGTAGTTAAATGTGTTTAAATGAGTAGGCATATTTTTAGATTATTTGCAGGTCAGTTTCTGTACACTGATTGGTCTTAGTGTCCAGATGTTGGATTAGTTTTCCTAAAGGTCATCTGCAGTGTCTTACTGGAGAGTGCTTCTTTAATTGCAGTCGGCTGGGGAGCAGATCAAGGCATTGGTGGCTTTGGAGATGAGCCTGGAATTAAAGCGCAACTTCTAAACCTAATCCGATCTGTCAGGACAGTCATGAGAGGTAAGTAACTTAATGTCACATCAAGAAAGACTTAAGTGAAATATTTGCTCTCTTCCTCTGTTTGTCTTTCTATCTACACTATATGTCCAAAACTTTGTCGAAACCAACATTTCTTCTGAAATCAAGGGTATTAAAAGGGAGTTTTTCCCCTTTTGTGTCTACTCTTCTGGGAAGGCTTTACACTAGATGCTGGGAGGATTTGATGGCTGAATGCAATGAGAGCATTAGTGAGGTCAGGTACCGATGTTGGATGATCAGTTCTAGATCACTCCAACTCGCCCTAGAGGTATTGAATGGAGCTCCATCATTCCAGAGAACACAGTTCCACTGCTGCCCAGCCCAATTCTGGGGGCTTCATGTGCGGCTGCTCCTGAGCACCCTGTTCTATTTGCAGTGCTTTTCAATTGATATACAAGCTGTGTGTGCACAATTGAACACCTGTGTCAGTAATTAAATGGGTCATCTACAAACCTTTGGACATATAGTGTAACTATCAGTCTTATCTATCTATAGCAGTTTGAACAATATTTACAGTGATTGTCCTGCTTCAACTTCTGTCTATCTGTTTCTGCCCACAGTGCCTTTGATAATAGTAAATTCAGTGTGCATCGTTTTACTGCTGTTGTTTGGATGAAGAAAGGCTGACGTTCGGGATGGAACAAGAGCTACTGGGCAAAAGGAAATGGACTGTTTTTTGTACATGCTGTAAATGTACTTGTTGCTTTCAGGTGTCTCGCTCTTACAACAGTGGGATTCAGTAATTGTTTACTAGTTGTATATCTCCAGATATCAACAGATTCCATAATTTTATTTGTATGGTGTTTCTCAGTACAACTGTTGCTTTAAAGAGAGCCCAAATAACTTTGTACATGATTCCCTTTTAATGTATAAGAATCTAGTAAACTGGCATGAACACATGCAACCAACTTTGTGTATCACAGAACTCTTAAAAAAGAAAGCAGTGGCACCGTCTCTAGGTTTTGGTGTGATTGTCAGCATTTCAGTATTTAATAATGCACTCCAGGCATATACTACAGAGTTAAAGTGAATGGTTAAAGGAGAGTGTTTTGTTTTGGGTCCTCTAACCAAAGGGAAAGTCTGTTGATGTTGTCAAAGGCTGTTTAAAGCTGCTCTTAGTCATCAGTTTTGGCTGAACAGTAAGCTTTAACGTACGATTCTGTCTAAAGACTGTTTTGAGCACAAGTAGCCTAGGTCGCTGTGAGCCGGTCAATATGTTTGTCAGATTTTAATAAAGAGAATATGTCTTTTCATGTACGCTGATTGTTTTATTTTATATATAATATATATATAAAATAAGTTATATATAACTTTGTTAGCTTTATAAACATCAATTACAGAATCAGTGAGTTAACGAAGCGAAAACTGTAAAACTAGCATTTAATGTTATTTGTCATGCTATGTGATGTTATGTAGCACAGCATTGCACCCCTTAGCCTCCCTGGTTCTGTTTTGTTTTGTCACTGTTTTCTAAAACATCACACATCCGTTGTGAATCCCCCTATGGCGATAAAGAAATCCACTGATGTAGAGACTACTTAACAGACGTAATATTTGGCTTTTTAGCAGTAATTTTAGCTACCTGGTTCCTTTCTGACGTAGCCAGCCAGTTGGTCAAAAAATACATTTCCAAAGAGCCCACCCCCAAAAATCCACCACAAAGCAGTTGAAGTCCTTTAAAAGTTCCTCCCACCTTCAACATACATTACCAGAAGTGGGAAGGCATGTTTACGATAGATGTAGTGATGATTACGTTTTTCATTTTAGCTGGAGTGCCTCTTAGGAATATTATCAATCTTTAGTTTTTATAAAAATGTTTAAGCAACAGGACTGAAATAGTCTGTCTTGGTGTTTTTTATTTTTTTAAAGTTAAGATATAACATATTTTGTGCATCTGATTATAACCAAATGGAGCCATCAGCACTAGAATGACGTTTTATTAACAAGAGCTTAGTAGATGGGTATTACATTAAATTACAACCATATGCTCATAAGTGCGATTATGGCTTAACCCCTTTTTGATCTAAGCTTAGCTGTCATAATCCGAGCCCAAGATAAATGCAGTATTTATTTATTTATTTATTTATTTGTTTGTGGGTTGCTTTTTTTTTGCTGCTTGGGAAGCAATTCGTACAACTAATCTTAGTTGAATAGTGCCATTTAAGGGGAAAACCTTTCTGCAGAACTTTAAAACTCTAAAATGTTCTTCAAACTGATTTTGGTCCTGTAGACCCAACTATACAAGTTTGGCCTGCTCAGCCAATACTGTAAACCTTTCATAGCCAGATTTTAAAAAATTAGAACCAAATGCAACACATCTGTCCTTGGTACAACGTTTAAGTTCACGTACACTCTTTTCAGGCCTAAATTTCACATTTTAAGATGATAAATGGTCATTACTTTGCTATTATTGCAATATACTCTGCCATCCATCATTGAGAAACCGTCAAAACATAAGTTGTGTTGTGCATTTTTATATTTGACATTAGTGAAACTCACAGACACATCAAGAGAAATTGTTTTTGAATGCTGATGGGCAACATTTAAAGAGGCTTTTTAAGCCAAAGTGATAAAATGTTGCTAAAATCTATTACTGCACAAAAATGCCTTCTAATGCGATATATCTGTCAGTAAAATAGCCTACATATGTTTTTTTTTTCCCTTTTAGCAAATGAGTAATCTGTCCCATGGGTAACCCTCTTAAATGATTAAAGGATCATTATGTCATCTGAGTTAGAACATGTGCCCTAAAGTAACAATATGATTGTTTTTGCATTGGGCTGTATGTGAACAGAATGATGGAAAGCATGTTGTTCTTTGTGGGGACACTGGGTTTTTATTTGTTTGTAAAAAGGCCCAAAGATTTACTTTTGGTTCCTGAGGTTAAGGTTATGGTTAGATTAGATGTGGCAGAGCAGCATTTAAATGAATATTTTACCGACAAAATCTAATTTAGACACTTCTCCGTGTTTGGTATCAAGAGCACAAATCCGAAGAAAATGTTTCAAATCAATCAAACCATATGGCTAAAATGTTGAGTTGTATCACTTCATTTACTAAATCTAGCCTTTTGGACGCATGGGACCTCTGATTTTTACCAGAAGAATAGAAAATCCAAATTTGATTGTGAAGAAAAGTAAAGAAAAAAAAATTGGATGACATTTTTATGGAGTAATATTACATTAGCCTCATGGCTCCAGGGTAAAAATGAAGGAAACAAACTTTGGACATCAAACAAGTCTCGCCTAAACGAATACTTTTAGTTTAAGAGGGAAATTGTGTACAGTTAATTATTCGATGAACCATATTGATAAAAATGTCAGCGAGCCTTTAATTTTTAGTCATACACAGAAACTACTGGAAACGCCCCACAAAACAGCGTGCATGAGAGAAACTGTAATACTACGTATTACTACAATATTAATGTTTTGATCACCTGTGTAAATCTGCTGATTTGTTTCCAGTGCACATGGTAAGTTATTGCTCACCTTTACTTATATTCAATTACCATCAGGCACATATGAGGACAGCTGAGCTGAGTGTAGGACCCTAAAAACGAACGAGGGTAACGGTTTAAAAAAAGTGAAGGTCCTTTCAGCTTTAATTGTTTTATTTTCAAACCTTTTTGTCTGTGTATCACCTGTTTTAAATGCCAGGACGTCGATAAACGTAATTTTGGTTCTTGCTTGTTCTGTTTTAAGCGTAACAGCCCGAATTGTCCACAGGTTAGCGCTGTTAGCTAACTTCTCTAGCTAATGTTTTCTGAGAGATTTGATCACTGTACGCTACACATTTAGCCGGGTTGCTGCTGTACCGTAAAATATTTTAACCCATTTGCATTATTATTTCAGTGCTAAAGTTGGCTGCTTATTCGCCAGGTTCTTTTTCGAATTTTCCCGTTCCACCTTAAATGGTGCAGCAGTCACTATAACGCCTCAGATACCAGAACGCGACATCCCCACCATTTAAGGTGGAACGGGAAAATTCGAACAAGAAGTAGCTGACTTCAGCGTTGCTGCAATATTGATAATTCACGGTGTTTAATAAACGTGTGTTAATTTGAGTGCAAAAGTGCAGAAACGTTTTACACCAACGTTTTAGTCAGTCACCGAGCAGCATCGGGTCATTTTTATTATACTATGATTATTACTGTGGTATATTAAGTGAGGAGAATGATCCGTCGTTAACATGCAGCTGTGTAAGCTGCTTTAGATCCTGCTTGTCTCTCCTTTGGGCTGCATCCAATCCGCCCACTACTGTACCAAGTAGTATGTCAATATAGCACATACAGTAACTACATTAGTATGTGGTTTTGAATGCAGAAAATTCCCTCCAGTAAAATTAAACCAATAAGCTCTCTTATATAGGACAGTGGGGCCCCAGTATTGTAACTCCAATTTAGACACATACAGGTTAATTACATAAAACAACTTAGGATGATGAGTTTGTAGTAGTAACAATATCCTTGCTGAAAACAACAGTGTTGACCTGCATACCAGCATCCAAAATACAACATAAGCTGTTTTTTGTAGTGATGGTGCAGACAACAGCTTCTGTCGCTGCTGACAAGCATCCAAAGCACAACATAACGTAGGTTTTTGTAGCAGGGATACCTCACATTTAGCTTCACAGGTGACCAAATGTCTTATTGTATTGCTGTTTAACTGAATTTGGTAAATAGTGTCCATAATACGTGCCACGCCATTGGCTTTTTATCCATTTATTATATGTTCCAAATGACTCCACCTGACAGAAGCAAGTTTTTGTGTCTTAATTGACCACACTGTAGCTTATATGTCCCGCTTTAGCTGCAGATTTAACTCACAGATTGACTCTCGAATGGTATATTCCACCATTTCTTAATTTACATGTCTTTTAGCTGCCTATGGTATTATATTTGTGTGATTTTAGTCAAGCTGCTTTATGTTATCTAAATCACTCCCAGTACTTTGGCAGCACTTTTTAAATAAATTTTAGGTTTCTAAATCCTGAAAGGATGTCAATCACAGATCATGGCCAATGTGCCAAAGCACCCGGTCTTTATTATGGCTAATCCAGAGCTGGCCTTGAATTGTTAAGATGGCATTAATTGTTCTTCCAACTTCAAAGAGCTGATTTGACTTTGGATTACATGGGAAAAAATGCAGAGTTTCTAAATAATAGAGGATCAGCAGTGTGGTTATGATCCACTTTGGAGATGTTTAATAGTCCTTAATAACTCCTGCTGAATTATTAAAGCTAAATTTCACTGGTATTTTGCCAGGGTATTTTGATCTCTATATTTAATATATTTTTTTAGTGCATATGTCGTGTAAACCTCTCAGAAAGAAAAAAAAAAAGATCCAGTCCAGCGGCTGCCAAAGTAGTCTGTGGGGGCCATTTTTAACCAACTATTAGTGTATTTGTTCTGTGCCACCCTCGAATGCTTCTGAGCCCAGTAAACAAGGAGTATGGGACACCAATTACTTGTCTTGATTGGTTTGGGAGCTGATACTGTTTGGAAGTTCTGATCTAGTCCAAAAGTCTTTCTAAGAGGACTAGGATTCCCTCAAAGTGAATTGACTCTTGTGGTTTGATGGACAGGCAATGGCATCACGCCGGGCACTGAAAGCAGTGCTCATTGACCTAAGTGGAACTCTTCATATTGAGGATGCTGCTGTACCTGGTGCTCAGGAAGCACTTGCAAGGTTAGTCAACATATAGTACATCAAACTACCCTGTGTCAAGGAACATCAATCCAAAATGAGCTGGAGATGACATTAGTTTTTAACCAACTGCTTGTTTTCTGTTGTTAAGGTTGCGGCGTGCTCCAGTGGCTGTGAAATTTGTAACTAACACGACAAAGGAGTGTAAGAGAACCCTGCATGAGCGTCTGCACCGGCTCAAATTTGACATTGAAGAGCAGGAGATCTTTACGTCGCTGACTGCAGCTCGCAATCTGTTGGAGAAGAAGGTGGTGCGCCCCCTATTGCTGGTAGAGGATAGTGCGTTGGAAGACTTTGCAGGTGAGTTGGGAGGACAGTCCACTACTGATGAGCTGTAGCAAGACAGTTTTGTGGTTTTATTGCCTGGTCACAACTGATTCACTCATGAAGGGCTTGATAAGTAGCCAACGAGTCAAACTAGTTGTGTTTAGACAGGGAAACATTTGAAGGTGTGGCATATTAAGCAGTAAGGCCATTATATTCTGCCACAAATATAGTTGCATGTTTTAACTAAAAGTAGCATTGAAAGTCACACCCTAAAATTCTTTGTCCTTTTCACAGGTATTGAAACCTCTGATCCCAATGCTGTGGTGATCGGCTTAGCACCAGACCATTTCAACTATCAAATGCTTAATAAAGCTTTCAGGTGAGGGCTCAATGCAGAGAAATAAAAAAGTCTGTTGCAACAAATATGCAACAGTATGTCATGAAAATGCATTTTCACATATTATATGTTTACTTGACATAGAAAATATACTTTTTGGTACATAAAAGCATGTGGACTGGGGAAAAATAAAATATGAGAAAAATGTAGGATATGGGCCCATTAGTCTATATTTATTGTTTGGTATATTTAATATATCTAGGCCTGTTTGTTTTACTCAAGTGTTTCTCCAAGATATATAAAAATATGATTGCAATAAACAGTCGTATGTTGTATGTTTTTTTCTGCATTAGGTTAATTCTGGATGGTGCCCCTCTCATTGCCATTCATAAAGCCCGCTACTATAAAAGGAAAGACGGATTGGCATTGGGGCCTGGGCCGTTTGTGACTGGGCTAGAGTATGCCACTGACACGCAGGCCACTGTGGTGGGCAAACCTGAGAAAACATTCTTCCTGGAAGCTCTGCGAGATCTTAACTGCAGCCCAGAGGAGGCTGTGATGATTGGAGATGTAAGTGTGATTCTGCATTCACAAATGTGTTGCTTTGGTTCGGTCACACTATATGGTTTCTGCATATTAAATCTTGTTTTGGTGAGATTAGTGAGTTAATTATGATTTTGTCAATAAGATGTGGTGATCTGGTGTTTGAATCTCCAGGATGCTAGGGATGATGTTGGTGGAGCTCAGAACGCAGGGATGCTGGGAATATTAGTCAAAACTGGTATTACAATTACCTTATTTGTATTCACTATTTTGTTTCATAAGCTTTTCAGCTGTAAACCCACATTATTACAAAATTATTTTATAGTATATTATGTGAGAGACGGTCATTCTGATTTTTGTTTGTCCTCAGGTAAATACAGAGCTGGCGATGAAGGCAAAATAAACCCTCCTCCTCACCTGACTTGTGAGAGTTTCCCTGAAGCTGTAGATCATATCCTTCAACATCTGCTAGACACTAAATGAGTTTTATGATTCTGTTTGGAAAAAGTGTGTTAAATATGCTGTTGTACATAAAGTGACAGCTGGATGAACAGTATAGGTTTTGTAAATATGTAATGAAGATGAAATCCAGAGTGCTTTAATAATGTTAATTTCAGACATTATGTATGTTGTTGATACATAGAGTCACCCTTTCTTGTCCTGTTGCACTTGCAAATCATAATTCTGGCTGACTGCTGGCCACTTGATGTCACAAGGCCTGTAATAATTTCTAAACTGGAAGAAAAGTCCAGTATCACTCCAAACATTCACTTTTTTTTAAACAGTCCAGATTGTGAAACTATTTATGGCTGTACAATATAAGTAAAAAAGGATAGCAAAAGTCAACCCTAAATAAACATACAAAACAAACTAAAAATGTTTTATTGACTTTTTAATTTTTTTATAGAAATGTTTCTGTACATTTTCTCATATTTACTTTGTGTTGTAGTCATCCTGCTTCTTGGCATCCAACCTCTGTTAGTACTAAGAAGATGGACAGGTGTAATGAGTCACATAAAAAATAAATTGCATGGTGTGCAGTAAAAAAAACATAGCGTAGTTGTTGTGATAACAGTTTAGGTTCTAAGCTCAGACAGACTCATACTCTCTCTCCCAGGCCGAGAATCTGTCTGTCAAGTTCCTGGCTGATGGTTTGGTGTGAGCGATCACCTCCAGGAAATCTGCTGTGGTCACCGTTTCTAGCTCAATAAATGGCATATCGCACTGACCTGTAGAGATACATGATTGACCTGGAGCTGTGCAGTGTGCCAGAGGAAATTGAAGGAAGCAATAGGTCTGTTTAGTTCATGAGGCAGTGTATGTCTTACCCTCACAGTGATTCTCCAGGGCATCGAAAATCTTCCGGACAGGCCTCATTGCAGCTTCTTTACAAACAAGTCTGATATCTGAGCCGGAATAACCCTCCGTTTCCTTAAATATTGAGGGCAAATGCTGTTACCATTAGAAATGTTGTTCTTACTGTTGTGTAATCTTCTATGCATTCATACTGGCAGTCAGAAGGAATTGCTCAGATGCACATCATACACTTATGTTTAGAACAGTCTAGTTTTTTGTCATGTTTCTATGTCTGTGTATTTCTTCTGTTATGTTCAAAAAGGACAAACACAAAAATAATAAATAAATGAGTTGAGGAATGAGAATTTGGGGGAAATTACCACACTAAAACTTGTGAGGTTGTTGGGATATATGTGAAGAAAAACTACCAACCAATATGGACACCAGTAAAACATGTTTTGGAAGCAAGTTACTTTTAAATGAAACTATAACAATGCGGTGCTGTCAAAACTAGACCAAAGAAATACTGATAAACAGTCTTAGCAGTTTATTTCTTTTATTTGTTTTTTTTTGTTGTAGTTCAGCATATGCTAAGTTTGAGGTTTGTGCTGGGAACGTGCAATCAATGTTTATTTTAAAGGCCCATATCTTACAAATTTCTTGTACTTTAGATATGTCATAATTAATTTTTACATGGGATGAGCATTTTCCAACCTCTCTGTATCCCCTATAATTAAACAGCCTGTTTTTAACTTCAGCATGAGTGGGCTTAGCAAACTGCTGTAGGCTGAAAAGGTGGATAGATGTAAATGTGTTGGGTTGCATAACATCACAAAAACTGAATTGAAAACATGCTGTTTTTGCAGTTTAGTTTCCGTATGTATGAACTGTGGAGTGCATGGTACGTTTGGAAACTTGAACAGTGTTCAAATACTCCATCACACTCTTATATCTCAAAAAAGTGAGGGAAATTTGAGTTTCTATGACTTTAACTGCTGATGTGAACAAATACTAAAATAATTAAAGCTGCATTTAAAGTTATATTACACTGTGCTTTTGCACTGTACCACTTAAACAACAAATTACACTACCTTATTCCCCCATAATCAGACCATTCTACCTACTTAAATAGAAAAATGACTTTTTTCCAATCATGTTTAGATAAATACTAAAGCAGAGCATCCCCTGTTCCTCCCAAACTCAAACTTGACTGTTACAAAAACATTTAAGCAGTTATTTTTGACTGACAGCATACACTAAATTTGTTCTTTTACGCCACACACTATTGATGGTGGATTGTTTGTGAGACCCACCTGTGCAAGAATGTCATAGGCTAGCTCAGTCCGAAGCTCCACCCCTCCTGTGTTGGTGATTGGAGGAAGCCAGTGGTTAATCATTGCTTTTCTCGCTGGGCCAGAAGGAAGACCTACTAGAATCCTCTTCTCTAGTCTCCTCAGCATGGCATGGTCCAGCTCCCTGAGACCAAGAGTGAGCAAAGAGAGGTTTAAAAATTGTGGCAATCAGCATGATAAAACTGCAGGATGTATCTGCCTCCTCACCAGGGCAGGTTTGAAGCAGCCAGCACAAACACCAAATCATTAGACCGTGCCAGTCCATCCATTTGAACCAGCAGCTCAGTCTTCATCCTCCTGCTGCCTTCATGCTCACCTCTGAGGAGAAGGACAGAGAAGGAAGGAATCATGTTGAAAGACGTAAGTGCTATAGATTACCATGAATAGACCAACATCAATGGAATGTTTCTGGAATTCTCCAGAATTCTCCAAAATGGCAAAATGTATCAACTTTAGTCTGTTTGAGATTACTTAGCAACTCAACACAATCTGAGGCAAGACTATGAAGATTTAGGCATATACTGTGCATTATGTTAACTGGTGCATATGTTTGTAATACCTGCTAGCTATATTAGCCTTATAGCTCCAGTGCAAATCTAGAGAAGCAAACATGTCTTTGCTGATTGAATACATTTGGGTTAAGGGTGAAATTTTTCACTAAACTACTGCTTTAATATCATCAGTGGATCTTAAGAAGCTTTGTCTGGCTCTTACCCTTGGCCAACACCTCTCTGGCTCATCACTGACTCCAGTTCATCCAGAAAGATGGTGGATGGGGCATGATACCTCGCTAACTCAAACAAAACCTGCAGAGTAAAGATAAAAATAGATGTCAGAGAAACTTTCTAAAAAGACATGCTGAGTAGTGGCAAAATGTAATTAGACACTGTTCAGGTCTGACTGAACACCTTGTTTAAATGGCTGGTTTGGTTTGCTGTGAAATTACAGAATTAACTCCAGTGTAAAACAAATCACTGTGTAGTTTGTAGACTGACAGAAGATACTGACCCGAACCAGCTTCTCAGAGTCTCCTCTCCATTTGCTGACAATGCTAGATGCTGAGATGTTGAAGAACGTGGTGTTGCACTCAGTGGCTACAGCTTTTGCCAGCATAGTCTTGCCAGTGCCTGAGGTTTTCAAGAGTATTATACATTAGTGAAATACAGGGGTCACATACTGTCCATGTCACATTAGCAGGGTCCATGGTTCTATATTTTTCCAGCATTTTATTTATATCCTATAAATCTACTCATAATGTTTGTGTGGTTTTATGCACCAAAACATTTTCGTTTCCACATGACCATTCTTCGACCTGTCTATATTTCTAGAATTATACCATCTGTTTTTGTTTTTGTAATATACACCCCTGTTTAAAAGTTTGGGATCACTGTGTACTGTGTACAGATTCACAGATTTCAAATAATGAATAGAACTAGCGGGCGGCACGGTGGCGCAGTGGGTAGCGCTGTCACCTCACAGCGAGAATGGCCTGGGTTCGATTCCCGGCCGGGCGACCGGGGTCCTTTCTGTGTGAACTTTGCATGTTCTCCCCGTGTCTGCGTGGGTTTCCTCCGGGTACTCCGGTTTCCTCCCACAGTCCAAAGACATGCAGTCAGGCCAATTGGACGTGCTAAAATTGCCCCTAGGTGTGAGTGTATGTGTGACTGTGTATGTCTGTCTGTCTGTCTGCCCTGCGATGGACTGGCGACCTGTCCAGGGTGTATCCTGCCTTCCGCCCAATGACAGCTGGGATAGGCTCCAGCGCCCCACCGTGACCCAGAAGGATAAGCGGTTTAGATGATGTATGTATGTATATTTATAGCAATATATATATATATATATATATATATATATATATATATATATAGCTAGAAAGCTGTAGTAAAGTCATAGTTAAATTAACAACCAGAATGTATCATATTTCAAAAGTGGATATACATCTAAATACATTTAAAAAAGTTCTCTATTTACAGAACTTCTGAAATATTGTATAATACATCTAAAAATACCTTTTGTAATATTTATGTTCACAATGCATAAGTTATTTTTGTACATAAATGAATGCCAATTCCAAACTTTTAAACGCTAGTGTATGCAAACAACCTCTGTTTTAACTGGCTGTCCTATATTGTGGTTGTGACATCACAACCATGCTGAATTCAAAATCATCAATTTTTTCAGATTAGTTTCTGTTTATGAACTGAGAAGGGAAAGCTGTATTTCAAAGCATAAGAAATGTTTATGTAGTACATCAAAATCTTTTCTTTCAAATGTTTTTTTTTCAAGTTATGGCCCCTTTAAATGCCTTTCCAAATATGATATTTGTTTCATAAAACCAGTCAAACCAACAGAATCACTAACCTGGGGGCCCATAGAGCAGTAAACCTTTCCATGGAGAGAGAATACCAGTGAACAGCTGAGGGTACTGGGGAGAAAAATATTCAGGTTTTAATTAACATTGCACATTGATTTCAATCACTTTAACTTAACATTGTGATGGCTTATCAAACATCATGATAATTGTTGTCAGACTTATTGGCTGCTCCAGGATGCATGCCTCATTTAATCTTATTTACTGTTGATTTTACAGCTTTAACTGAAACACACAGGGAGTCTTTGTATTGACAGACAATAATCATTTAGCTGACAATGAAAGCAAGCTACTGATGAATGAAATCTATAACAGTAACTTCAGCCTAACTAAGTACATTTAAAATCAACATCACATCTGGTTTTATTAACAAAATAAAGACACATATTTTTGTCTTGCGTGTCAGAGCCCTACAACGTATTTGTCATTATCGCAGATGACAGGAATGAGTAAGAGATAGTGAAAGGCAAGATTGGGTGGTATTCAAGTATGGATTTAATGTCATCTAAAGCTATAACCGCCTGCGCAGTGCTTTCCTCTAGCCTTTAGTGAGATATTCACAATCGAATGCCGTGGCAGTTTGAGAAATACCACAATGTTTAGCAGGCCCGCACCTTAATGGGGTAGACGACAGCCTCTTTGACTAATCGCTTGGCGTCCTCCAGGCCTATAATGTCGTCCCAGTGCACGTTGGGGTTGTGTAAATAGATATCCTTTAGGGAAAGACAGGAGGGAGATGAAACACAGCAATTCATTAATATCTGCTTCACTTTGAGTGCTGTTGTACTATACACAGTTTCAAAGAGATTATCTAGCACAGACTAATCGTGCGAGAGAATTTGTTTCAGGTTACGGTTAAACAGACTATCGCTTAACACTACACTGCATTTATGTGCAATTTCGTTTCTTAAATGCAAAACTCAGATACTAACAGTATTATGATACAATGTGGGTGGACTGCACATACTCTGCTAATAACAGCCGCTAGCTCTCTCATCTCATGGTTCATCCCATAGAAGGCACTAACGGGTTTGAGCAGCCGCTCCTGTGCAACAGCAGAAAACACAGGTTTTTCCAAAGCACAGATATAATAATGTTATCACTGTAGATAAATCAAAACATGCATAGGTGCTATTTGACAACCCATGTAATATAGTAATATACTGCAGTTCAAACATTTGGAATCACTGTTTGCATTAACATATAACCAGTTTTGTTGCAAGTATATGTACTGATTACTGCAAGTATATGTATATCTACTGATTCTAATGTGATGCTAGTATTCCAAAGCTTTATAAGATTTAAAAAATGGGGAAAAAAATAAAAAATATTAAATGATTCCATAATGACTGAAAAAGCTGTCAAAAAATGAAGTATTAAAATTATCCAGAATGCCTCATATTTCAACAGTGGTGATCAAATCTCAAGGTAGACAGGCATTTTTATTGCGCAGAATAGCAGACAGTGAACCTACTGAGGGGTCTTGATTGCAGGACAAACTATTTGAAGCAATGTCGTGGGAGGTTCCTTTAACTGCGTCCTGGATCAGACACCTGTAGTCAACCTGTTGACCCTACAAAGAACATTTTCTAACACCTCAAACCTCTAATTAACTCTTGGGTTAAATGAAAATACCTTTAGCTTTATTGTAGGATACTATATGTGTAGGACGCTCAGAACATGTTCTAGTATCACAAGGCATTTTATTATAAAGAATTTACCTTCTTCATGTGTGTGCCCTCTCCACCTCCGTTCCTGATGATAGGAGACACATTTAGGCCAAACTCTGCTCTTTCTGGCACACAAACTGCTCCATTCTCCTGAAACTAAGTGGGACAGCTGTGACATCAGTGTACGAACGAGAAAAGCAATTGAGATCTGGCATCTAACTGCTTTATGAATAAGGGGAATAAACTCACACTGCTAGATTTACTTGAGTCCTTCGCAGCTGCTTTAGACTCTGGCTTTCTAATACTGTTCCTGGACTGGGGTCGCTGGACGGAGGCGATTCTTGGCAGTGTTTGGGCTGTGTATGGGGTCCTTTCAGACAGGAATATAAGTAGCTTAGTGGAGGATAAAACAGACTAAGCATTCTTAAAAGTGTCATGCATGCTCACCTCTTTTTACCACAGCTTCTTACAAGTCTGTTCTCTCCTGTGTGACAATAAAGTGTCATAAAGATTAAGTAAAGCATTTCCAGCATTTGTCCAGGCTTAAAAAGGCCCATATCCTACATTTTTCTTTGTGTATGTTTATAAACAAAAAACAGTCAGAAATCATTTTTTACAAGACCATTCTGCAACCTCCCACTCTCATTTAGAATTACATGGGCTGTTTTGTGTTACTGACATATGTAAAAAGCCACTGTTCTGTGAACAGTGGCTGAACTGTATCGAGCTTCATTCAAAAAGCAGTCTGGGCTGAAACACTATAACTTTAGTGTGCATGGGCAGGTCTACACTGCTGTGTGCTGAATATAAGGGTATGTGGAAATATACTGATTTTCTTGACATCACAAAGACAGTGAATTCAAAATGGGCTGTTTTGGCAGCTTAATTTGCATATCGCTACTATCAGAACAAAACCTCATATCTCCAAAATGGTAACTTTACAGGGGAAGGAAAACACCTAGTTTACTTTTAATGTAAGTTAATGGAACCAGGTATTTTCTCAAGTCATTTTGGGCTGTTTTCTTTTGGTCCATTTATCATGAAGTTTACATACAATGTAAAAGTCAACAGGCATTTTGAAATTATGTCAAAAACTGAAGAACGACAGAAATGGAGGTACGAGGTTTTGATTCGACAGCAGCAATGTATGGACTGAGAGTGAATGGCATAGATGTTTAACAATGTTTTTTTTAAAGTTTAAAAAAGTGAGTAAAATTCAGTTTTCTATGATATGGACCTTTTTAATACACATAAAGTTCTGTGTAATAATGACAGCTACCTTGTTCTGGCAGTTTCTTTGTTAGCTTGGGATATTTCTGAAACTTGATGAAATGATAACTTTCATACTCCATCAGAATTGTGTCCAGGTCAACATTGTCACAAACTTCAAAGCGACGCAATCCAAAATTAGTGTCTTGTTCCAGGGCATTAGCAGCGTCCATGTATCTATACAGTTAAAATGTAAGATTAAGAGCAGACAGTTCAAATTTTCTTCATTCTTTGTTCCATTTCAAGTACTTTATATAGATAAGACCAGCTTAATAAGTGCAAAATCTCACCCTTCCTCCATTAAATGATGATAAATTAGCACAAGCAGATTTCTTCTTCTTGTCTCTGTTCTCAGTTCATCCTGAAAAGAACATTTGGGACATAATTGCTGCACAAAACCCACACGGCAATGAACGAACCACTAAAGGCCCCCCGCACTCAGTGGGCTTAATATGATTATATACACTGATTTTTGTGTCATGTGTTATCATAGTACAGAGATTCTTTTCATAGAAAACACTGGCTTTCTCAGTATATCTGAAGAAAGCAATTGGTAGCAATTTTGTCTGTTATGAAAGAAGCTATTACAGTGTAAAATACTAAAATATATGATAGAGAGGATTATGATGTGGCATCAGGAAACTTGTTTACAGATACAGAACATGCCTGCACTAATGTAGCTAACTTGTTTGAAACGTTTGTACTGTGCAGTAAACTGTCAGCTTGAAAATATGTGAATAATACTGGCATTTTAAGTTACCATGCTATCAATTTTATGTTCCATATCTATCAAATAAACTGTCAAATACGGTGTGTAGAGCTGTACTAGTAGGTTCTGCTGCATTAGCTTAGCATGCTACAGCTAGCTTCATTGATGAGAGTACAACTCAAATCTGTACCTGTGTTCTTGTGTTTGGAGCTGATAGCTTGAGCTACTTTTGCTTCAATATCCTCATTAGCACTAGAAGCTACTGCTAGATTAGCAAGAAGGCCTAAACAGCTTTACACACAACCATGTAGGTTCATTTTAGCTCACTGATGCTGCACTGAGGCAAGTTCAGCTTAAATCTGAGCTGTGTTTTTGTGTGTAGAGCTGTTAGCTTAGTGATCATATCACTACAATCTTTGATAGCCCTACAAATTAGTTAACTATTTATGATGCTTTCATTTTTCCCTCTATGGCTCTGACCGACTCTAGCGGCAGGAGTTGAGGAGCGTAGTTGACTGATGTGGTGGTGGTGGTGCGTTAGTGTGTGTTGTGCTGGTACGAGTGGATCAGATACAGCAGAGCTGCTGGAATTTCACCTCACTGTCATTGCTGTACTGAGAACAGTCCACCAACCAAAAATATCCAGTCAATAGCGTCCTGAGGGCAGTGTCCTGTGACCACTGGTGAAAAACTAGAGGATGACCAACACAAACTAATACCTGCTCTGTGGTGGACCTGTGTTGGTCCTAACCATTGAATAACAGGGTGAAATAGAACTACCAAGTGAACCTATATGGTAAGTAGAGCTAATAAAATGGACAATGAGTTTTTAAAGTTATGGCTGATCGGTGTATGACCAACAATTAAAAAGACCATGGATTTACAGGAATATCCCATGCTTTCAGTGCTTATTTCTGGAGATTACCACAAGTAAAGGCACTGGTTTTAGGCAGGAGTTAGGAAGCTGTCTAAATGCGTTTTCCCTAAAGCTCAACTGAACGTGCAAAAATACAATACATGCTTTTTTGCACCCCCATAGAAACAGGCCTAGATGTTGATGATTCCTTAATGATGGAGAAGGCGGTACAACACTGAGAATGATATATTATTCTATTAAGTTATAATAAAATTACAACCAGAAGGCCACTTTTCAAATAGTGGTAATCAAATCTTGAAGTAGACAACTTCTGTAAATAGATAATTAGATAATTTCTGATTTATTAACTTCTCGATGTTACCCAAAGACTTAAAAAAAATAAATAATAAAAACGTAATATTAAAATACCTTCTGGTGCCTACTATTACTGAAAATTAACAGTGATGACTATTATGACAACCGATTTCAAACTTTGCAATTTGTGTATAAAATGATGAATGAAGTGAATATTTCTATGAGTGTCCACACAACGCCACACACCACAAGATGGCGCCAAATCTTCGCATTGAGGAACAAGTGCCGTTGTGTGACTGGTTGCCAAGACAACAAGAAACTCGGTGCATTTGTCAGTCGCAAATTTGAAACTTTACCAGGCCAAAATGAAATAAACTGCCACGTTGTATGAATATTAATAATAAGTGAACAAATCTAGCAAATATTCCTTTTGCGTATTTCATAGATATGTGTCAGCTTAGCTGCACGACGACTCACATTACAGCTTTAAGCTAGCTGGTTAGCTTAGCTTTCTCTAACAGAGACGCTAGCAGAGGACTTTGCTTGTAAAAACATGAAAGCAATGCGAACGAGGTTGCATTTTAAAACGGTGGATTACTCACGGCTTCTCTCGCCTGATTTGCAGTTTTTATGGCCTGATAAGACAGCTCCATTGTGGCCAGCTGAGTGGACAAGCTGCCAGTGTCCAGCCACACTCGTGAGGCTGAAGCTGGCTTCCTCTTCGACAGCTTCTTGTTTGAAGTTTCCCGTTCCACCTTAAATGGTGCAGCTGTTACATACAGGCGCCTGAGGCGTTATTATAATAACTTCGGGACTATTTAAGGTGGAACGGGAAATTCGAAAAAGAAGCTGCTTGGTACTGAAACAAATGTTCCAACCAGGTGATTTTTTTTTATTTTTTCGTTACTTTTTTTTCGAAACAGTACTTAACAATACATAGCATACAAACAAAAACTGCTAGGAGTTCAGTCAAGTAAAAACTTTAAACAAAGAAAACGAGTCTTTAGTGCTGTAGTCTTGGTCGAAGCAGAAATACTATGTAAATATTGTTTAATTTCTTGTTCAAAAAAAGAGGTCGCTTGGTGTTAAATTTACTTTTGTGAATGGGAAATTTTGCAAAAAGTATAAGAAGGTTTGAGAACTTTTAGAATGGGATGGCCATGGAAGCCCGAGGGATTTTATTGGGGTCATACACTCAGAAAAAAAAAAGATAAATAAAAAAACCTTACTTTATTAACATAAAAAAAAAAAATCTAACAAAAAGTGGCACATTGTTTCATAACTATGTCTGTCCAGAATTTCCGCATGAATAAAATATTACATCAAAGACAAAACTTGATGTAATGTATTTTATTTACTAATGAGGAAATGGTGTATTTGACTCAAGTGAATTAAAATAAAACACTTTTTCAGAGCAGAACATTAAAAAATTAATGTGGACAGACCCTAGAAGTTATTAATTTAGGCTTCTCTCACTACAGATTATAATGATAAAACAGCTAGCCAGACAGCACTGTATGAGGTAATATGCATTTATTCAATGTAAAAAGAGAATAGTTAACACCTCATGACTGGGTTGGCAAAAAGGGTGGCCATGCTTAATTCTAGCGTGGCACTGGTCACCACTTCGCTATGCCTCTGGTCCTGTGGATTCCTTCATAATTAAATGATTAATGTGTTAACAAAGTCATTGGGACCCTGATAGCAAGAGGATACTGGACCACTGTTGGCAAATTTGCTGGTCCACTGGTGTTTTGCTCAGCATTTTCTGGGCGGCCCACAAGTGGTCAAGCAGTGTAATAGACAAAATTCCACTTATCATCACTCATTTTTCACTCTCAGTCCAATTTACTGATTTTTCCTCCCTTCATTTCTTTAGTTATACTTTGTAAAGTAGTTCAGTAAATATTTTTTTATCTATCACAGTGTCAGCAACAACATTTTATATAAAATCATTTTATATCAGGCCTAGTCATGATTTCTTTCTCTCATTTGTTTGTAGTATTTGTCTAAGTTTATTTTCCAAAATAAAAGTCTGTGTGCATTTAAAATCTGTTTGAGGAGATTAAAAACTAGTTAAAACTTGTATGCAGGACAGTAATCTGGGTGGTCCGAGGGTGGACCAGCAGTGGCAAACAGTCAGTGGAGTGCCGACCTTATCAAGCCAGTGGACCGATATATGCTCACTATCTGGGGAGTTGTTTAATGCTAAGTGCTCCTTTTAGGAAATATTTAGTCAGTCAGAATTGTTCACAGTGGTGGTGATAGGAACCAGACGTCCAAAGCACTTTTATCCTCTAAAAGTTCAGTCACAGAAAGCTATGAAATGAGTATGAATACACTACCTAATTTTTGTTTTACAATAGTTTTGAGAAAGTTTTATAAAACATTTTTCATATTGGCATGGGGGGGTGTTGTAAGGCAAAATATTCTCCAAAGGAAACCTATAATTTGTGGTTTACCAATGTTTTATCATTGTCAACATAACATGTAAAAACTCAGAAGACTTGTATAAGTTCACTGGTGGAAAGCAAATGAAATGGTTACTTTTGTTGTAGACTTTGCTACTCCTGGTCCATATAGCGAGTCAGAAAGTTTCCCTACAGTTAAGCATTTCACATCAAATGACTTTTAAATGTCACAAACGTAGATGTTTGGAGAAGTAAATTCCCAAGAAATAAGGACTTTACATACTATTCAAGTAGGCATGCATCTTATTCTAGGATTGATTACTTTTTCATGCCCAAGTTAGAGCTGCATAGAGTAATGGATATTGAAACACTACCTAGTACTATCTCTGACCACTCACCCATTACACTCAAGTGTCATATAGGCCATAGACCAACCTTCAAACAATGGAGACTTAATGCTTCCCTCCTTAATGATAAAGAATTTACCAGCTTTATCATAACAGAACTTAATAATTATTTGGATACTAATGTCTCATCAGAAACATCACCTCTTATATTGTGGGACTGTGCTAAAGCGTACATCCAAGGTCGTATTATCTCATATACATGCACTAAAAAAAGAAAAAAGAATGCCAAACAGCAGGAATTAGAGGACAAAATAAAGGATTTAGAAAAGCAACATAAATGAACCACTTCAAATAGACTTATTAAAGCTCTTAGCGCAATCCATAGAGAACTTAACAGTTTGTTATCAGAGAAGGTTGAGGGAAGCTTAAGATTTGTTAACCAGCAATATTATGAATATGGTAACAGAACAAGTAGGTTATTGGCATTTATAATGAAAAAGCAACAATCATCTAACATAGTGCAGAAAATAAAATCTAAGGATACTAAATTTTGTACTAAACCAGATGAGATAGCAGAATCCTTTGTAGAATTCTACAAATGTTTATACAAAAACTCTGATACTTGTTCTGAGGACATACAACTCGAAACATTCTTGGAAGACATAAACTTGACAACACTAACAGAATCAATGGCCAAGGAATTAGATGAACCAATAGAGGAATGGGAAATGAAGCAGGTGATCTCGAATCTGAAAAATAATAAAAGCCCAGGACCAGATGGATTTATTAATGAATTTTACAAAACCTTTAAAGATATTTTATCTCCTCTGTTATTAAAAGCATACCATCATGCGTTTGAGTTTAAAGTTTTAGCCCCTCCTGGAAAGAAGCAACCATAGTAGTAATACATAAAGAGGGCAAAGATCCTACTGAATGCCAATCCTATAGGTCTATATCACTATTGAATGCAGATTTGCGTATTTTAACAGCAATCTTGGCTAGACGTGTCAGTAAGATTATTACCCAAATTATCCATCCTGATCAGGCTGGTTTTATCACCGGAAGATACTATGGAGATAACATCAGAAGATTACTTAATATAGTGTCCTACAAAAAAGATGAAGAAAAAGAAGAAATAATTATATCATTGGATGCCAAGAAGGCCTTTGATCGTGTATCATGGCAATATTTGCTTCAATTACAAAAGAAGAATGGAGGGGAAAGAATAATTTGTAAACTGTATCAAATATCCATGTCTATGAACCTAAATAATTCTTTAAATATAAAGCAGAGATGGGAATCAGAGCTAAATGTGGATATAACACAGAGTACTTGGAACGAAAAATGCGCCGAAGCAAGTTTAGTGACCAATTCAAATGGAAAGTCATCACCAGATATTTCTGAACGCCAGAAATAGTGTCGAAGATGGTTCTAACACATAACAGTTCATGTTGGAGAAATTGTGGAGCACAAATTGGAAACCATACTCACATATTTTGGCTGTGCCCTAAGTTACAGATATTCTGGAACGAAGTATTTGATGCTCTTAAGGAAGTGCTTCAGCAGAATATTCCACAAGATTCTAGAGTAGCAATATTGAGAGTAATACCGGATAACTTAACATAAGAGGGGAGATCTGAGAAATACCTTCTAGGAATATTACTAACGGTAGCTCTGAAATGTATTACAATTAAATGGATGAATCCAGACCCTCCCACATATAATTTATGGATCTAAAAGGTGTTGGATGTCTACCAAATAGAACAAATAACATACTTAGTAAGAATTCAAAAAGATACATTTACGAAGAGATGGAGCCCTGTTATAGATCTACTAATGCAGTGAGAAATATATATATTTTTTCCCCCTTAATGATTGTCTAATTGTTTATTTATTTTTCGACAATCATGTTCTGTTCTCACATTATTTTCATTATTTTGTCTTATGTTATTGATTACTTTTATTTTGAAGTGGATTCCCATTGTTGCTTATTTGTGTAATAATTAAGATTGAAGAGTGTATAGAGAAATGTCACAAACAACAGCTAAATACATTATCATACAAAAACTGCAACTTCTACTTCAACACATAAGCAAATCACAGAGCAGAAGAGTACAAATTAAAGTTTTATTCCGGAGAAAGTCTGGACAGAAAAGAACACAAATGATTCAACCAACACTGTTTTGACAGGATTTCCCAGGCAACATGAAGGAACAGTTGATATTCATAAAAGCTGTTAATATTCACAGTCTAAGGTGACAGTGAGGGTTTAAGACATGAAACCATTCTACTACCTCATACCTCATTCAATGTTGACATGTTTTCAAATGTGCAAGACTAGTTAACTGTTTTTTACTTCAGGGCAATCAAGTGCTTTGTGATTTATTCCACATAACCTCTAATAAACAGGAGAAGAGTCCCACTTTTAGAAGGTTAACAGTAAGTGCTTTGCAGAAAATCCAGTCTGTTGTCAGTTCGTAGCTGTCCATCACAAAAGGCTGTTACATGACAACATTAGGAAATACAGTATGGCACTGGGGAACAAGTGGTCTTCAGAAGAACCCAGCTTCAGTCAGGAAGGTGTTGGCCTCCAGCAGCATACCCTTGACGTACACACGGACTGTGTAGTATAGCGTTAAAAAGTCCTGCGTGCTGAAGACTGTGTCTGCTAGAGCAAAGCCCAGCGTGGATGGAATGAATCCTCTGCCATACTCCACCATCCAGGTCCCTGCAGTCCACTGCACTGAGGTAGCTTCTCCCACCTTGTGCACTATTGTGTCACCTGCCAAAACAGAAAAAAAAACACCACACAACTCTTCAAGCTCATGTCTCCAGAAAGCTGTGCATCTTGAGAATAAATAGAAGTGTTTACTGTATGTTTTGTACATTACCATTACTACTAAACAACCACTTAACATGCCACAGACATGACTGAGAAGTCCGAAAGCAACTTAGTGTGGCTAACCATGACAGCTGAGTTCTCAAAAAGATCTCAATGTTACTTTGATGAGACAACATGTTTCCGCATCATCTACTGAGGTGAAGACAACTGTCTCTCATCTCATGTTAAACTGTCAGCTCGAGCATTAGCTTATGTACTGATTAAACCCACAGTGGCAAAAGGATTTCCATTCACTTTTGAATGGAATGCAATATGCTTAATAAAAAAAGCAAATCATGGTTTTTTTTTACTGTATTTCTCTCTCTGCTTTTTTGTGCTACTGAATTTGTTGTACAGCCCTGTTGAATAGATGACTGACAAAAGTAATGTTACAGCAATTCTCAATGATTCTCTGTAGTAGTCAACAGTACATAAAGAAGTTAGTTATGTGTTTTTTTTTGGTTCCATGTCAACTACATAAATTTGTTCTATAGCATAATGTCTTCCTCTCCAGCCTAACTAAACACAGCATGTTTAGCTGTACCGGTTACACAGGAGAGCATCAACTACTTGTGCAAGCTTAATCATATGTAAACTTCTGCACATGCAAGTTTAAGCCTAATATGTTAACTTTTGACAGTGTCAACTCTTTCCGTTATACCAGCGAGAGTGGGCAATGCCCCACCAACCAATCATCATGCCCCAATATACCCAGAACTTTTTAACATACTTCGAAATTAGCAGGTGGCAAAAACAATCAAAGTAAAACTAAACTTTGTTCTTGCATCCATCACTTTATACTGACTGCATTATATATATGCAACCCCAGTCCCTCTGTGGTTTTGGATGCTCAACTCATTTCTAAACCAACTCCTAATAATAACAGAATATGGCAGCTGTTTGTGGTGCTGACAGAAAAAAGTACAACATTATTGCTCTACCTGGGTAGTATGTCTCACTTTTAGTGGTTCCCTCTTTCCATTGCCTGAAGGTCCCAGAAATGATGGTGTCTGATATTTCTGCCCAATAACGCCCTGAGGAAGAGAAGCATAAAGAAGTGTATGTATTTTTTGAAATGGAGATTGTGACAATCCTGATTGCACTGTAATTTTAGAGCCATTTAGTTCTTTATGAAAATTTGCTGTAAAAAGCACTTGTCTGATGGAAGCAAGCAACTCAGAAGATTGTGCTACTGCAAGACGATCTAGAAAGACTTGCCATGAGATCAAGGCTTAGTTACCTGCCTCAGGCACAAATGAGTTATCTGATCTAAATCTAACCGACTAGGTGAGTCACCTGAGTGTCCGCTTGTGTCCACGGCAGTTCCAAAGAGCAGTACATACTCTGTGAGGGAGGCGTGGAGCAGGCACATGGAGCCCATCCAGCCCCCCGCATTCACAAACACCCACTGCAGGTCCTCATCAGGCAGGATGTGGCCTGGGTACCGCTTCCGCAACTCCACCACCACTTTAGAGAAGGCCTGCTCATGATCCTGACCTATGTGAGAGAGAGAGAGACATGAGATAAAGACATGATGGAAAATATGCAAGTTTTAGCACATATAAAAAAACAGGGATCAAATATTTGGGGATTTCACATATTTACCAATTTTTACAAGCCTGTATAAATGAGTTCACTCATTCTCATATATAAATGCCCAGTCAAGCATCTGGTGATCAGAACACTCAGTCTGCCAGATGAACTTCAGCCTCAAAGATAAATACTCCTTCTCTCACACATGCCAGGTTGTCAGGCTATAGATCATACAGATCAGCTTGCTTACTAGCAATTAATTCAGCTAAGAGATGATATGTCATGTAATGTAGGCTTAACTATAGTGTAAAGCTTCCAGTTTACTCGACGCTATTGAGTTACAAACATGCATGCAGCAACTTGCAAAGTAGCTAAAGACCTATGCAGCCTCCACAGCCAACCAATCAACTAACGCTAGCTAACTGTTAGCTAAAATGAGAGGCACTGCATAGTAAGACTTATGATCAAAGCACAATAATGAACGTCTGATATTACCTGCGTACTGTTTAGCCAATCTGGCGACATCCTCTTTTGTAAAGACGTATCTTTTATTGGCCATCCAGTATTGCAAGTACTGGATTAGTAAGACCAGCACACCAACAAACACCACGAGTTTCAGAAATTTTGTAGTGAGAGACATTGTGACTACGACTCTTTACGTACAACGCAACATTAAACAAGCCAGCACAAACAGGACATATGACCACCACAATTTATACACTAAAAGACGCCTGACACACTTTCATTCATCGGGACGAAAACACTTCATATACACGGCTAGCTAAGCTAGCATGCCACATTAGTGGTTGATCTCTGTTGACGTGTAGTGACGTGAACTCTGGCATATATTATGACCAATCACCGCTCAAGTCTTATCGCTCTCAGCCAATGAAGTGTTGAGGAATATCGACTAGGAAGCGCGCGATGCGACTGAGCAGTTGTGAACGTCAGCACGGTGCTTAAAGACGCATATGTGCAAAATCTCTATATTTAATCCATACGACTTTCTTGTAGGAGGTAAAAACTAATCAAGAGCATAGATACTATTCCGTTTTATTTGTAAATTGCAATTTTATTATTACTAGTTTGGGATGAAAGAGATATTTTTGTGCTGCGCTTTTCAACGCAAAAGCGTTCACCCAAGGCTTAAAGGGAAAGCAACAGACTGACCACAGGCTGACGGGCAGCCCCAGCAGCGGCAGCTGAAGAAGGGACGGCAGCTCTTTTATTTATTACACTCTCTAAGCACACTTAGGAAGAATTACCTGAGCTGACGGTGCCATTATTCATTCAGGACAGGAGGCTGTGTGGCAGTGTAGGCTCACTTCACTCACAAGTAGTTTTAGAGGACGCAGCTTAACGCGTTAGTGAAGCATGGAGAGTGAAAACAAACTGAAGTTCGACCCCAGAGGTAAATAAAGCGCTGTCCTCTCTGCATTTGGTCGTTTTAGTAGACAGCTGTAAGAATATATCGTATTATTTAATTGAACAGCCTCTTAACAAACGCCAGCTGATGCTGCAGTGTGTCTCACGCTGCCAACCCGTGACAAGTCTCCTGAGCACAGTTCTGCATTTCAGCTAAGCCATAGTAACCCAAATATAGAGCTACAAAAGTGCCTAAATGTAGCTTTTTGGCACCAAACAACAACAACGGCAGCAGCAGCAGCAGCAGCGTTTAACTTGTTGAAAGTTTTCATGCAGCCAGACTCTACTGGAGCTCTGATGCTGTTATCACCGGATTAGGTAGCGTTAGAATGCCTAAAGCTACACTCAAGTAAAGCTGCTGTTCCTTCAATGAAATAATGATAGTAGATGTAGCTACCAAACCAACTTGAGTGAAAAAATTCAGGACCAGAAATTGTTCGAGTTCCCTGAAGAACTGCAGTGGCACTGCTTAGTACAACCAGCATCCATCAGCAGTAATATAGTTAAAGTTATAGCTCCAAAAATGAAATCAGTTCCAGAGCTTAACCAGCACAACAGAACAAAATTAAACCAAAACATAAGGAAATCAAAGGCTGAACTGGAGCTGAAGAAATAGTAAATTCACAGATCCCTCCTGTCTTATTAAGTCTTAAAAGACCTTTTTTTTAATAAAAGGTCATAAAATGTATATTTTAACCATTTGATGTATAAATGTTAATGCCTAAAGATCAAGTTGAAAAAATGAGTCATTGCACATATTAAACTAAATCAGGGCCCAATTTTCTAAAACCACTTTAGTGTTAAGATCATCTTTGTGCTAAGACGCTTTTGGGAAAGCCAGCCCAAAATAGTCCATCAGTCAAAAACAACCAGCCATTTTGTGCTGGAAATGGCATTATTTTTCCTGTTTTATGAGGTAAAAAAGCATGCAGTTTATTGACAGTATTTTGCAGCAGCCCTGTGACATGAAAACACCCAATGAAGTACAAATCTGTTAAACCTGTTTGGAAGTAAATGAAGCTACTTACCAACCGTTCATCCTTAACGCCTCAACTCTTCATTGCCTTGTTGTGTCAGATCACCAACATCTGCGCTACAACCCTCTGCGAGACTCCTGGGTGCTGGTCTCAGCTCATCGAATGAAGCGTCCTTGGAAAGGACAGGTGGAGAAGCCTCCCGAAGACAGCGTCCCCCGACACGACCCAAATAACCCCCTCTGTCCTGGGAGCACCAGGGCTAACGGCGAGGTCAGACGCTTACATCTCTGATCAACACCACTGCAGTGCTCTGATGTTATAGTGTTCATATTGTTTAGCTTTTTTGTAAATACATGTGTGTTACTTTTTTCTTTTTTATGCTTTTAACCGTGTTTATTTCTCACTACTGCCTCAGTTGCTTTTACAGTTATTTGGCTTTTGTGCTTTGTTTACAGAAAAGCTTCATGTGCATAGCTTATTGCGTTTATTGTTCTGTTTATTATATTGGTTAGTAGCCATTCTTACCTGCTCTGTTACACTTTAAACATATTTACATATTATTATATTATTTCAGTTATATTACATCTTTCAGTTTGTAATATGCTGAAAAATTTTAGTAGATTTATTACAACCCTTCTATTTTTTGCCATTACCTATTGCATTTTTAGTCACAGTTAATTCAGGCCTCTTTGCATAAAAGTTGAACAGTAACCTTTTTTTATTGAATTTGTAGTCAAAATGACCGTTAGATACACATTATTTGTTTTCAAGCATCAAGCAAAAGCCTGGACATGTATTCAGCAAATTACAAAAAAGCCTCCAACACTAAGTATAATATCAAATCTATCAGTGTTTAATTTGTCCACTCTTTACTTTTGTCCACTCTCACTGCCACTTTGACTTTTCCATCCTTCCAATATTAAACCCAAACAGTTACAGCTGTGTCCTCCCAACAAGTTCCCAAAGATCTTACTGACATTATGTTCCCCTTCAAACACTAACATTCACACAAACAACTACCTAAACTCACCTTAGCTGCCTTCAAATTTCTTTATCTTCTGCATGTTTTCAGGTGTTTCTGTCTATCCTTCCACTGTGAGAGGGCAACACAGTGCTATGAGTCTGAAAGGATGTGTAGCTGTTAAGAAGCTCTTACTGAGAAAAGAAAATAGATTTTGCATGAGAACATCAGAACTAAATATCTAAAATGTGGAGTGATGAGTCTACGTTCGTAATTGGGATTATTCTGAGAATGAGAAGCAGAAAATACAACCAACTTCTAAGACTGAACTTTGGAGGTGTGAAAAGATATTCCTGCAGATTTCTTTGAAAAACTGAAAGGACATTTCCTGAAAAGAGTGGAAGCTATAATAAAGGTGGACACAACAGATATTGAAAAAAATTATACACTTTGTTGTTGAGGCTTCTGTGTAATTTTATGTTAAACATGTTTTCTTTTTTTCTGATACTGTAAAATGAATAACTGTAAAATCCATAAATGACAGGGTGGTCTCTGACTTTTTTTCACAGTATCGTTTGTCTACATGTAATGAATCTTTGAATCAAGGACAGTACTCCAACAACACCAAAAGGAAAAATAGTCTGAGCTACAAATATTTACCTTTTTCAGCAATATTATATGATCAATGTTAAATCATCTGTTGGTAAACTTTTGTGGCTTCATCTTTTCCTTTATTTTATATATTTTCTAAGACAAACCTGTTGTTGCAGAGTTATGGAGGCCTACTCCCTGTCTGTGCTAAACAACTCAGGGCTGTAGTGCATTTACTGATGCATTACCTTTATCTTTTTCTCCAGGAGGTTGTTTCTGTGTGAAACTCAGCTTTCAATGTAGTTTTTTGGTAAATTGCTTGGGGTCCATATTATCATTATTATATACAGATTCAGCTGTTTTTCCCTCATTGTACTCTGTATCTGTAGGTCTTGATGCTGAGCAGCTTTAAAACTATTTGCTACTTGAGCAACTTTCTGTATCTCCTTCTGAGACAGAAAGCCAAGCCGTGGGCATTGTGGGTGCTTTTTTAGTGCTCAGGTAAAAAAAACGGCTCACTGAGGGAACTGATGTGTCTGCATTCATTATACAGTCTTTTCTGACTAAGCAAAAGAAATGATGATTTCTCTTTTCCTTTCCTCACACTCTCCATCTGTCTTTGTGATTTGCACAGCTATGAATAATTCCTGGCCTTACTGCTGTTTTTTTTTAATATGCTCCTAAATGTGATAAATGTCCTTGGCTGACTCTTTGCCCCTGCACACCATTTAATAGTTGATCAAGGAAGTTGGTGAATAGCATTAAGAAAATTTTCAGTAAAAACTAAATTTTTAAGTGCATTTTATTTATGGATGCCTGAAATATGCAGATTCACTTTTGAGAGAGATGCAGTCAAATGTGACTGTAAATGCAGGAGAAATTAGATAAAAAGTTAAGCACAGTCTAATAGTTTTTCTTGATGCTTTTTCAGGTGAATCCTGAGTATGACAGCACTTTCCTCTTTGAGAACGACTTCCCTGCACTACAGCCAGATGCTCCAGACCCAGGTTCAGATCATCACCCACTGTTCCAGACAAAAGCTGCAAGAGGAGTTTGGTAAGCAGAAGAACCGTAGGTTCATTATTACGTCCCAGTCCAATCTAATTGAACACATTAAAATCCTACTACACACAGTATACCTCATTCAACAAAAATTGCTGAAAAAAGAGCGCAGACTCCCTTTAATGATGTACAAACTGCTCTCTATCTGACTCGTGAAATTTTTAAACGAAGAGGGAAATAAGCAGAGATTTGAAAATGAATAATGAATCGGCTTCAAAAGCACCAGCCTACCAGTACCTCACTCACATATTATTTACACAAAGCACATCCTAATTCATACAGATGTTTCAACAACTTATTACAACGGCTGGAAAGAATAAAATGTGAAATAAACAAAGCGTCTCCGTTTTTTAAGAGGTGTAGAACGATGTGATTGTCTAGTGTGATTATTTTTCTAAAATAGCACTTTTAAACAGTTTATTATTGCAGTGAATAAGATGCTTCTGTACTAGATGTGTTTTGTATATTTTATTTTTTGAGTGGTGTCAGTGATATAAAAAGCACAGTGTGATATGTTTTGTAAATGAAACATGAAGTAGTTGCAGCATTTGTTTATAACAATGTTCATGTAAAATAAGTACAACCAATTTTGTACTGCTCAGTTTATAAGTATTTTTTTCTTATCATTGGTATTTTAGGTGATATTGATGATAGTTTTGATTAATTAACAGCAAATCAAGCATTTTGTCAGGTTGTATGACTATGCTTACGTTTACACACGCTCCTGCCAGACATGAGTTTGATCATACAGATACACCAAAGATAAAATTGGTGAATAGCAAAACTATAGATGAAATTTTCATGTGCTCCTTTTATGTACAGATTTGACCATAAGTGACTATGTATATATGCATAAGGAATCCAGTAAAAATTCTCATCCTAAAGTCCACATTAAATTTGAAGAAAGTAATATGCAAAAAAAGTAAGTAGGGATTGCCATGGAAGTTTAATTTTAGCCAGCCTACTCTGTGCTGGGTTTTAATCTCCTCGGCATTTGCTGCTAACACCACGTTGTCATGAATCCTTCTATCACAAAGGCACGCTTTCTTTAATAAATACAGGAATATGCAATCTCACCCTGCCTTGAAACTTTATATATATTTGACTTTGAGTCAGTAACAGCTAGATACGTCTCAAACATATAATATTACTACACTTAAAGACGTTTTCATGACATGCGATATGTATCACGTATTTTGACACATAGGCACAAAGCACCAGTAGTGCTACGTTTGAAAAATGCTATTAAAAACGATCAATGCAATCATTTTTACTGAACATTTTACATATTCCACTACACTAAATCCATTTCAACAGGACTAATTATGTTCTCTTTTTAATGAAGTAAAAGTATTTGGTAAGTGTTGTTTAAGTACTAGCGATGTTAAAATGTTAACCATATATCTACATTGCTTTCGCTATCAGAGAGTATGCAATAGGTAACATTTGGATTACGTCATGTAATAACACCAATATATTCCTGTAATCTTGCAAACTGATTCATTCCTGGACACAGTGACCGGCATAAAGTAATGTTTCAAAATGTAATCCCAAAAAAACAAAACAATTTCAAAACATTTGAGCTCAGATTGCTCATTGCACATCATTGCTGTCATATCAAAACTTCACTCTTTATTTTTACAGCATTTGAAAACACCAGCTGCCCTTCACATTGTGTGATCATTTCATGATGAAAGGTGAACAAATGGTCAAAAAATACTTGGAATAAATTCTCATGACTTTTTTTTTAGCTTCTCTTATAAGGTTTGCATTAGAAGATAAGGCAGCGACAGCATAATAAAAGTCAAGTAATTTTACAGAATTTTAAAGAACTTGACAGCCTAGCATATCATACCTAAATGGGGCTGATTTTACTTATTTTAGTGTGCTTAAAATGCACACTGTGCAGCTGTATCATCCACACAGATGATAGTCAGATTAATACAGAATCAGCAGGTCAGGGTTGACATGCTTCAGAAATCCTTTCCATTTCCTCCCTATTCTGTATACCCAGACAAAGTGAACAGCTTTCATTTATCAGATACAGGGAGGTACCAGTTTATTAGGTACTACCTTGCACTTATACCATTGTGCCTTGTACTTGTACAGGTACACCTACAATATAAGAGTACTTTGTAGGAAAGCAGTCACTGACTGCAGCCCATCTGTTGCCGCACAACCCCCCCTCCCACCTGCCACATCCTATTCATCAGTGGAAAGGGACCACCATAGGACCACTGCTAACCAGATATCATGTAGGCAGTGAGTCATTCTCAGACCCACAGCAGTGACACTGACATGGCCGATATGGCAAAAAATTAGTATCACAATACTTAAAGACAATTTCACGTAACTTGATATGCATCGCAATGGTTGATTTTTCTGAAGTTTGCTAAGTTGGAACAGAGAGGATGCACCTGTATTGCCACATAAAAAAATACAATCAAAAACTGTGAACACAATAATATAAAAAACATTTCATGCAGTGTGCTGAACTTAATCCTATTAAACAAGACTAATATGTTCTCTTTTTAAAGAGATGCACAGTTCCTCAGTGTTCTTTACAGAAATCCATATCTGAAAAGCACATTGTTGCTTGTTGTGGCATGGTAGCATATGTGGCACTGGTACAGTTGTATCAGGCATAACAGTGCTCCTGGAGTTTTTAATCACTAATTGTAAACCTATAAGGTGCACCTGCATGTACATATTTGATAAAATGGCCGCTGAAAGAAGGTACACAGTAGTAGACTCATAAATCAGTGTATAACAGCAGTGCCTGCTGCGCTCTGAGCTAATTTTCCATCAGACTTTAATATTGGGATTTGTCTGCTTATGTTTTGTTTCTGAGCAATGACAGGTCATGTTTGATAATCTGTAGGTGGTATTCCAGAGCCGTTTGGGAAGTTGTACATGCCTCGTTAGGTCTGTCATATAGCAACAACAGTAATGACATCACTGACTGTTAGGGCTTCTTATGCTTGAAGCGTGCATTCCACATTGTGTTAGAAGTTGTAGTCCTGCTCCATCATGTATAGTTTCTAAGGCATATGGTGAAAGTCTGCTGTTGATGGGAGAAATAAGACTCCGGATCAGCTTCCTTCCTGGCAGATACTTTGTAAACACAGGCTTTCTTGCTGTGAGGAGAATGAGCTCCCTTACAGCCGGCTGCACACCCAGGCCCTGTGTGAGTAAACTCGTCCACTCTGCTTGTTAGTGACCAGTGCTGGAACTGCTTATGGCGTCGGAACAGGCTCTCCAGAGAGGGTGCTAGCGGAGGAGAAGGAGTGAGGCTAAATGATTTTGTGTTCGAACTTGAGGCAATGGATGATAAATCAATATGGGGGAGCTGCAGGGTCACGGCTTATAGCAGCACTGGTGTAGTTTCTTAATGAGGTGGAACACGTCGTGTGTAGTTTATTTGTTATGTGAATCAGTTGACCTTAGGTTCTGTAGGTTGGGTCAGTATAGGGCTGCCAAAGTTACTCGATTAAACTTATTTACTTTATTTAGAAGAAATCATCTATGAAAATGTGCCTTCTCAATGAATTGACACTGCTTGTTTGGAAGTTTACTTGATAATAATGCATGTTTTAAATAGAGTATAGTAAGAAACAGCCTGATTAAGACCTCTAGTTATGTTTTCTTGAATACATTGTTTTAAAAGACTTTGAAATGCTATGTATAGTTTGTTATTAATTAAGTCCATTTTTATTGTGTAACTAAGCAAGATAGTAGATTACTAGATTACTAAGCAAGACTAAGTAGATTACTCTGCAGTAATAATAAAAATAGATACATAATAGATAATGACAGCCCTAGTTCATAGCGTGCATATTATTGTGTTGCTGCTAAAGAGGTATGGTGTAGACTTCTGTTTTGTTAGGAATCTTACCTTTCACTACTAGAAACACTGAATTTAGGGAAATTATGCATGGTTAAGAACACCTGTAACGCGCCAGTCCTCATGAGCCAAACCACTGCAGACTTCAGCACACTGCCTTATTAAACACACCTGATTTTAGCTTAACAGCTAATTAGCAAGGCCTTCATGAGTGTTAGATGAGGGTAAACGCTAATCTCCGCAGAACTTTGGCCTGGATGGTCCCGAGTTTGACATGGCTGGTTTGAAAAGACAAGATTTGGTTTAAATTAGCCAAGCCTCCCAGGTTGTGTTGCATGAAATTTAACTTGCTTTCAGTTTTTCAACGATATGTTTTTCCTTGCTCCCAAAGTTCAGTCTTAGTTTTTTTCTGCTTCTAACAATACAAGTAATCCCAATTACAGACCTAGACTCATTAGTTCATGAAATCTGAAGCCTTACTCCACATCTCAGATCCCCAGTTTTGATATTTTTGTGCAAATTTTCTTCTTTTTTATCTGCTTTTCTTGGTAAGGGCTTCTTAACAGCTACACATCCTTTCAGACTCATAGTGTTGAGTTCTTCTCACAGTGGAAGGACAGACAGAAACACCTGTGGATTTTTCAGATCTGGAGTAAGAGTGGAGCTTGATTTTTCTCCTCTCTCTCAAAGATGAAAGCTTTAAGTGCTGTTTATCTGATGGGGACTGTTTTGGTTGTCTAGCAGTTCTTGCGCTGTTGGGAATGGGACCCAGTCCCATTTTCTCTGTGTCTTGTAAAAACTCCAGATAATGTTGCAATCAAATTTTATATCTAATATCTGAAATTTCTACTAAAAACTGGATAATTTGTCGTCAGTGGCTGTTTTGATTGGAAGTTAAATGAATGAAGGTGCTCTGTGACTGTTGCACTGTAGTGGATGTATATAAATCTCACCGATGTGTGAAAGCATTTTATTGCCAACATAAAGGAATGTGTTTGCGTTTTACAGAATGAAGCTTTAGTAAAAATGCTAAGCATAAGTAAAGCCTTAGCCTTTGGCTTTCTGGCACAAAATGTGTGCACAATGTACTGCGATGTTAAAACGATTAACACCCAATCTACAGCACAGTTGTCTCAGAATTCCCGTTAGGCATGAATAAATTACAGCTATTGCTCTATCAGTCTCTTGATCTTTTTGTCTAATCAGACCCTTTTGATATTTTCATTGTCAGCAGTTTCTAATCTGTCCCACTTACCAAGAACAAGCTGCTTTTGTGAAAACTGAGCTCCTGTCAGTTATTTTGAAGGAGCACTAGATGGTGCTGTCATCAAGACAGTGTTAATCTCTGCTGCAACTTCACTATTGTGGCTGGTATTGAGCAAGGCCTCCTCTGAGTGAACAGCTCAGCTGTTCCACTTCTCTCACCTTCCAACATAAAATAACCAAAGTAAAACCTTAATGTGTCAGTATTTGAGTAAGATTGTCAACTAGTAGTGATTTCAAAGTCATATTAGCTGCATCTAAAATTAGTCCATCTCTTTTGGTATGTTGTTTTGAAGGTGAAAACTGCATTGAAAACTGTGACATCACTGATTCAGAAATGTGTGCAGGAAGCCAGTTAGCAATCCAGCTGCATGTGATTGTGAGTGCAAGAGAGCCTCCCGTGACCTCATACACTGGCAGCTTGTGTTGTTTTTGCCAAGTTTTGTTGGTGAAGACAGTGCTTGGGGGAGCTGTCATGCACAATTCATTGCTAAGACCACTGACCCCAAATGTGGAAGGAGTTGTGGAGGAAATAGCAAGGCCAAGACTTTGGAAAGTGAGCCTGTGCAGTGGGCCTATATATATATATATATATATATATATATATATATATATATATATATATATATATATATATATATATATATATATATATATAAAGGAAGCAGGGGAAATAGGAAGCAGTGTTGAGAAGTTTGACATGCATGCACATTGCAGAACGTAGTGCACACTGGTTGATAAGCTACACCACTGTGTGTGGAATCGTAAACGAGCAGACCATGCCTTTTTTATTATGCAGTTATGAGGATCAAAGGTGAACAAGTGTAGAAATTTACATGCCGTGTGCCACATGTTTAATTTGATAGTGCTCACTCGACAATATGTACCCTGAGGAGGCCTTCAGATCACATATGCCACAAAGTTTTTTTTCAAACCGTTGCTTCTACGACTGCTTCCCAGACTTGAATTAATGATCAGTACAACTGCTCAATTATAGAAGGAGATTGGGTATCTGTAAACTGGCTGAGTGAGTGAACTCAAAATGATATATTAATAGTTTAGTAGAAAGACCGAACCCCATAAAACTGAAATATAGGTTAAATGACATACCATGCATTTTTTTTGTGTCTGAGCCAATTATTCTCAGATTTAAAAAAAAAAGGAATGAATAAATGATATATATATACACATTTTATCTGCTCCACTTACTATAAATAGCAGATACTATTTGGGTGGTGGATCATTCTCAGCACTGCAGTGATGTGGTGGTGGTGGTGTGTTAGTGTGTGTTGCACTGGTCTGAGTGGATCAGACACAGTAGTGCTGCTGGAGTTTTTAAACACCTCAGTGTCACTGCTGGACTGGGAATAGTCCACCAACCAAAAATATCCAGCCAACAATGTCCTGTGGGCAGCGTCCTGTGACCACTGATGAAGGACTAGAGGATGACCAACACAAACTGTGCAGCAGCAGAGCTGTCGTCTCTGACTTTACATCTACAAGGTGGACTGACAAGGTAGGAGTGTCTAATAGAGTGGACAGTGAGTGGACACGGTGTTTAAAAACTCCAGCAGCACTGCTGTGTCTGATCCACTCGTACCAGCTCAACACACACTAACACACCACCACCACGTCAGTGTTACTGCAGTGCTGGACAGGACAATAAGCGTAGAAACAAGGAGGTGATCATAATGTTGTGCCTGATCGGTGTATATAATGATGTCAGTATGTTCCTAATTTTGTGTGAATAAAAATTATGGTAGGATTAGATGTGAAAGATATTCTTTGTCTGATAAAAGCCTGTTTTCTTGTTGTTTCTCAGTAAGGTCATGTGCTTTCACCCTTGGTCTGATGTCACCCTACCACTGATGCAACCTGAAGAGATTTGTAAGGTGATTGACAAGTGGGCGGAGCTTATAGAGGAGTTAGGTCCCACCTATCCATGGGTTCAGGTAAGAAATATGGGACAGTCTTAGAATTAGATTCCTGCATGTTTTCCGGCAATCTTAGACAAATATGTTGGTCTAATGTTATGTTTGGACCTCGTCAGCTTGTCCGTAATCGTAACTTCCAGTAGTTTGCATTCAGGTGGCCATCAGCAAATAGTAAATAGAGCATGAATTGACCAAAGCCAGCTTGGCTCAGTTATAGAAAATGTGATGACTGGTGATTCATCACAACTCATAAACATGGAACATGTTTAGCACTTGTACTTATGGCTTTGTCAGCCATTTGAGTACATCCTTGTGGTAAAGCCAACAGTTCATGCATTTACGGGGTTCCAAATGCACCACAAGGACTGCATTTTCAGATTCTCTGGCACCACAGGCTAACTTTAATGTTCACAGCTCTTTTTCTCAGGCACTAGTTACTTAACCTTGACAAACAAACAGAATGTCATAAATATTACATCAGCCTAGTGTTAGCCTGCCGAGGGGGCAGCGTTCACTTTGCTCATTATCGAACATACTGGGACTTGTAACGTTGTCCTGAAACGCTATTAACATTTGTACCAAAAGACACTCTCCCCTCCAGGGCCCGTCTTTGTCACACAGACACGGGTTTCTCCATATCTTCCTCTTATGTAACGTTCAGAGTTCAAAACAGCCAGTGCGAGTAGGGGACACCATTAGCCTCGGCTTTAGTCCCAGCCTTCACCATCTTTGCTAATTGGATCAATTGGGAGCTGGCTCCTCACTCAGGGCTTTTCAGGCCTGATCAATGCGCAGCAGCGCTATGTGTTCCTATGGCCTCCCTCAGCATATTAGAGCCTCTAAAGCAGAACGACCGTGCACTTCAGAGCGCTGCCAACTCTCGTAAGCATCCGGATTAAGCTGATTTAGTGTGCCTGAATCAACTAGGAGCTGTAGTATAATCATATAGACGCATGAGAGTTGATAGGGTCTACATCTTTTTTTATGAATTGCACTAGATTACGACTGCTTCAATCTGACGGTGGTGAGGTTAGAATTGATTAATTGTCGATTATCACGAAACACCAAAAGTATGCGCTCACTTTTTTTACCAAACATGTTTGGTAATTTTTTAAATATAAAAATGAAAAAAGTGTACTTTTTTTATTGTCTACATTTCATGAGAGGTGTAGTTTACATCAATAGGAATGCTATGAATTCACTAAAATTTGTGTATGCCAGCTTATATGCTTAACGTTACATATCTCTGGCTGTTGCTGTCATTGTATGTAAAATGTTGACACATGCCACCAAAATCTCTGAGTGAGACATTCATATGCAAATGCATACATGGGCTCTCACAGATTCACAGAAAGTATGAAACACAGTACTTTACAAAAGTCAGTGACTACCCTTCCTTATTTAATTCCCATCTATTAATTACAAGTTATTGCAAGTTAAGTTCCAAGAGATATTCCTGAGGAAATTAGCTCTGAAATAATCTACATGCATAAGAAATGAGAAAATAAGTAAATAAATGGAAAAATAGTAGTTTTCAAAACTGGAGTACAAAAAATGATTAAAAGACACAAAGAAAAAAGCTGTGTAAGACCCGGAAGACCACCAAAACTGTCTCCATCAGATAAACAGCACTTAAAGCTTTCATCTTTGAGAGAGAGGGGAAAATCAAGCTCATTGTTTCTTCAGGTCTGAAAAAATTCACAGGTGTTTCCATCCTTCCACTGTGAGAAGACAACTCCTCGCTATGAGTCTGAAAGAATGTGTTGCTGTAAAGCAGCTCTTACTGAGAAAAAGGAAACAAACAAAAAAAGAAGAATATTTGCGAATCAAACAAAGAAGCTGCTGGTGTTCTCAGAACAGTGGACTATCGAGCTCAACAGTCTGGACCTCAACATCATTGAATGTGATTTGTGAGAAGCAGAACGTGCAACCAGCTTCTAAGACTTTGAAGGTGTTGGAAAAAAACTCCCTGTAGATTTCTTTGAAAAACTGAGAAGAAAGAATGAAAGCTATTAATAAAGGCAACGTGTGGGCACACTAAATGTTGAAAAATGTAAAATTGTATGTAGTTATTGAGGCTTCTGTGTAATTTTCTGCTATATGTTTCCTGCTTTTTTCCCCCCCGACGCTGAAAAATGAATAACTTGTAAGACCGTTTGACTAGAAACTAAATAAATGAAGAGAAGTCTCTGACTTTTGAACCGTATTGAATGAACAGTATTCAGAATGATCTTTTTAGTAAAATTACACCACTTGTAATGTTAAAGGGTGATGGATATTTATGTAGAGTATCTAGTTTTAGTTGAGGTACTGTGCACTAGCTAGGCTAATCTTGCTAACAGCTACTCAGTGTATACTCCCTGCTTGAGACGAGGTTACATCACTGTATTCCAGCACTCCACTGTATACATATACATAGCATATACAGTATACTGTATACATAGATTTGCAGATTCATCTTATTGTTAAAAATAATTTAGAACCATACCAAAATACTCAGATTGAATCGTGGTGTAACCTGAAATCCAATTGCATTAAACTGTACTAAAAAATTATAAGCTAAATTATATTGAGTCAGATATTGATTTATACCTCTGTGTTTGATATAGAACAAATGTAGGTTTCTTTGGCTGCTTGGCTGTTTTCAAGATGGTAGACAGACTGATAGTTCATCAACTAGTGAAAGGTAGCCTTGTGCAAGCTTACAAAACCATCATTCTGACCTGGCTGCATATTTCTGTGCTTTATGTCCCTGCTAAGGGCACTTGAGGACTGTTCTCAATTCATAGCAAAGGCCAAAGGCACACATTAAGAAATGGTTCAATTTTTCTCTCAAGGACTTTTTGAGGCTCAAGAGCAGTTAGCCAACTTGTTAAAGGTCAGCTTGTCTCTACAGCGGTTATTACTGTGTGCTCGTCCTTGGAACCCTTTATGTACGTGTGATGTTTCAGAGCAGAACACAGCAAAGTGTCTGTGCTCCCTGCCACTCGAGAGCACCTCTCCAGACCTCTCTTGTTGTTTGTCTGCTGCAAAGCATCACTCTTGGGTCCATTCAGATAAGGCCTGTGGTTATCTGCTCTCTGTTAAAGGCATCAGAGCATGTGTTCCCTTTTGCTCCCCAGATTTACAGACCCTGATGAGCAGGGACTTTAGACAAGTCAATATTTATCAAGCGGAGTAGACAAGGGCAGATCCTGCACAAATCCCTTCATATCACCCCCGGGGGAGTCCTGGGGAAGTCTTAAAACTCTCCCCGACAGGAGGTTTCCTCTGGAGCAGTGCTGCTGGGGTTTGACCTGGCATAATTGTGTGTTTGTGCTTGCATATGTATAGCTCTTTTAGTGTGTTGCCATTGTCAAAATACTAGCATTGCAGTGGTTACAGATTGACCTGCATTATATTGTTGGATTACATCACAGGTTGGTGGAGTAGCCTACAACCGTACTTGCGTAAATGTATTGTTACCTTATTGAAATTACGACTCAGTTAGAAGTAAAAGAAGCTATTGTAGGAGTAAAAAAGTACCAGGTCAAAGCAAATTCATATACTGAGCTCCCTGCAGAGCTGCAGTGGAGGTTCTTAGTATATCCAGCATCTATCAGCATAGGAAGTGAAGGTGCTGTTCTTCCCTCTTTGAGACATTTTTGGACTAAAATAAAGTGCTAAAGCTCTAAACTGAGAGGTGTGAAAAGCAATAAAACAGTCAAGGAGCTGAACCAACAGAACATTCACCCAATGATATCAAAAATGTAAAGGACTGAAATGCAAATAAGTAAATACTGCAATGGTACCAAAATACTGTAACAAAGAGTTGTGAAAAGAATAACAGCTGATGTATAATGAAAATACTTTTTTTATTTTTCTAATAAAGGTGATATAAATCATAATAAAGCATTGATATTTCTTGTATGTGTCAAGCCCTATTCTAACAATGCATAGTGGCAATGCAAGTGGACTATGTGTTTCTGGTAAGAAACCTTTCAAATTTGTATAAAAATACAAATGTATCAAAATTGTACTTAAGAAAATGTAACTGAGTAAACAGAGCTTTGTATTGTTCTCTAGATTACATAAAACCTGTGATTCATTTAAACACCTGGTTAGGGGGCTCTAGTGAAGCACTGAAATCGTAGTTCTTGGCCAAAATTAAAATAAAGGACAGGAAAACTGAAAGTAAACAGTTTTTTTTTTAAAAAACAAGTTCTTTATTTATTTATATTTATTTTTATTTATGCTCTGGAAAGAGTAGAAAATATTGGTTAATTGAAAAAAAACATGAATTATTCATAAATTCAGTCCTTTTAATAGGACCAAACTGAGGTGACAATAAATTAAAATATCAAATAAATTTTCTATAATTATTACAGTACATTTAATATGTCCCTACAGAATCCAGCATCCCCAGGTGCAGAGAAAAATCATCCAAGGCAGTGAATTCCAATTGTTTAGTTTCACTTTGTGCTTTTGCACTTCATTATTTCAAAAACTGGCTACAGATGGTGAAAACCGAAAGTACTTTCCCCCCAAAGGTCCATATGTGCCTTAAATGCTCATAATTAATTTTTACATGATCATTTTTCATCCTTTCTTTATCCAACAGGCTGTTTCCGTTACTGTGCCTTTAAGACTGATATATCTAAAATTATTGTCTCATTCAAGAAGCACTCAGAGCTGAAATACTCCTTAGACCTGTAAAATGAATGGGCAGAACTAATCAGCTATAGGCTGAATAGGTAGATATATGTAAATAGGCTGAGTTTTGTGACATCACAGAAACATTGGATTCAAATTGGCTGTTTTTGCAGTTTAGTTTCCATATATGGACTGTAAGGTAAGTGCATGATACGTTTTGAAATGTTCAACACTAAATGTTGCTCCTTTATTTCAAATAAGCGAGGAAATGTCTATGAAATAGGTTCTTTAAGAAACAATATATGGTGCAGCGCTAGTGTAGACTGGGGGGATGTTCACAGCGTAAGCTTACTGCATGGTTCGATTTACAGTAGCTGTGCACTGTGTTGGAATGTCGTTTTGTATCTCACATTGTTTTTCTCTGACAGCATGTCATAGCTCCACTCAACTAAACATCAGTCTCTCTCTCCCTTCCTCCCTCTCTCTCTCTGTCTCTCTCTCAGATCTTTGAGAATAAAGGAGCTATGATGGGCTGCTCCAACCCTCATCCTCACTGTCAGGTATGATGCCGCCCCCCTCACCCCTCCTCTCTCTACCAATTAGTGCTGATGCTGGCTCGATCTCTGAGAGAGATACTCTGTTTTTTTTTTCTGTGGATTAAGACGTTGCCACTGCAGTCTCTAACCATCTGGAATGCACCTTTAATAGGGCTTTAACTGTCACCCCGGCATGGAGAGTGCTGAGAAGATGGGGCTAATGCAGCAGCAGCTTAACTGCACTGTGGGCTCCAATTAGAGAACGACAAAGATATTCCAGCAGCATTCACCACCGCAACTGTCTCTGTTCGTTTGGCCTGTCACCCTAACAGTCTCCTGTGTCTGAGTTTTGGGGTTGAAACGGGGAGAGGATGTAGTTTGTGCGTATGTCTGTGTGTGTGTGTGTGTGTGTGTGTGTGTGTGTGTGTGGACGTGTATGAATGTCTATGTCTGAGTGCATGAGTGTGTGTTTGGCCTATACTGATCTAAAAATTTTATATCAACATTAGGGAAGCACTGATATGGGAATTGTGGACCAAATTATGATATTTGTTATATATTTAATTTACATAACTGCAGATGCCGATACATAAATGTTTCAAAAAAGTAGAAATTGACTAAATCTACCTGGGTTAGCATTACAGAAAAATAAAATCTGTTTTGTATAGGATTACAAGTGCAGTAAAATGCAGGCTTTTTAAGCACAGTAACCTAAAGCTTCTATTTATATTTAGTCAAATATCAATTTGAAATATCAGATATGATGATATATTTTATCTGCAGATACTGTTAGTAGTCCAATATCATCGTAAAACTCTAACCCTAATTACTTAGTCTTTTATCATGGCCTACAATATCATGACATAGCACTATAAGTAAGAATGCATTTACATTTTGTGATAGCAATGACGTACCTGCCTCCCATGTATTGGTGCATTTTGGGGAATTCTGCTTTTGAACAAAGAAAACACATTGAGTGTGAATGTATTGCATTGCAGGCGGAGGTGTCAAAGAGACCAGTATAAATTAACAAGCAGCAAACTAACAAGTGGAAAGCTTCCGTTCCTCTCAAGAGCCTCCACTGTAACAGGAATCAATGTAGTTGTATGATCAAGAGTGAGAGGCTACAATCAGTAGGAGTTGGAACTTTTGACTGTACATATGATATATAAATCTATTGGTTGGAACATAAAGCTACTGTTGCTCTCACTGGACATTGGTGATCAAAATATGATTCACCTTATTGTCATGTGGACCATGTAGTCACAAGATTTTACACAAACTAATGTGATTAATTGTGATTAATTTTTGTAATTTTGACAGCCCAATCTGCTTTTAATATTACAAATCTGAGCACTGAGCTTATGATAAATAAAAACCGTTTAGATAAAATTAACATGTTAAATTATTACATAGGCTGTGGTTTGTGCTGCACAATCCAACACCCTTTACAACAGAGATCAGTTAGTCATTTAAGTAACAAGTTCCATAATTGTTTAATCACACTTTATCGTTTGAGAAGTTTTTCATCATTTCAAACTAAGGCATCAGATGGTCTTGGTGTGCTAACAGGACTTTTTTTGCCTCTGTTGTTGTGCTGTTTTCTGCACATTGAGCGGAATGTTTTCTTTTTTTCCACTGTTAATCTGCTGTTGCTCAAACTGTTTGAACATGTCTGCAATGGCCGGCACAGGGAAGCGAAGGAAAAAACTGCTAGTCACTGTTTCTCATTTTTATAATCTTTTAAGTTATTTGTTTCGTTTAATCTTCTTCTTTTTTGGCCATATTTTCAGTATATCTTCACATTATAAATTAAATATTTAGAAAATCGATTTTTGACATTTGTGAATCGATTCAGAATCGTCCACGTCTGCATCGCGATGCATCTAAGAATCAATTTTTTCCCACACCCCTAATATATATAACAATCAAACTAATGATATATAGCTAGTGATTTATTTATATAAATATTCTGGTGTGTATAAATGTTGGTAAATATATATTTGGCCATAGTTGTTTGTGTGCACTCTGTTTGATGGCCAGTAGGCTGTCTCTCTGCCTGATAGAGCCCAGTGCAGCTGATGCGTGTTAACAACATCTTCATTTCACTCTGTCACTCTCCTCTCCTCTTCGTTTGGATGTGTGCCTTGCCCTCCTCGTCTCCGAGCTCAGGCTGTCTGTCGCTGTGTCGATGCTTTCAGCCTTACACCTCCGTTCCACTGCCTGATTATTCCCTCAGCATGGTGGAGTGCCACGGCAGACTGTGCTGAGGCCACTAGGGGGCAATAGAGGACCTTGAGTAAGCTGAATGAACTGTGAAAGTGGTCTCAGTAGCCACCTGTTCTTGTTTTTCCATTCAAATACCTCTCTGTGGGAAAGCATGCTGAAGCCACTTGTACGGTAATGTTCTTGTGGTATGCCATTGACTGTCTTTGAGTCGAATCACTTCAAACTGAGAGATTAGCCTGGTTTGGTAGGTCTGGTTGTTCAGACTGCAAGAACAGATTAGGCTTGTTCTTGCACTGTGTTATGCTGTTAATTGAGATTCTCCATTGGAAATCCTTTTTAGTCTTGCAACAATCTTAAATCCGTCCTGATTGCTAGTTTGCTAGGTTAATTCACTTTGATTTTCATTTGGTTTACTTTTAAACAAAGCTAAATCATGAATTACAAGCCCAGAGACTGTACTCAGTACAAGTGCTTGGTTTAAGTGAAGTTTAAACTATAATGCTGTGAGAAGCCAGCAGGGTATTATGTGACTTCTACAGTCTGTAAACATTGTTTAAATGTACTAAATCAAACAAAATAGAGATGGATATGTTCTTGTAGCTTCTGCAGATACTTCATCAAACGTCCTTTCCTGCTTATCAGACCTAATAGTTTTCTTTCCCATCTTCCTTAACACAGTTTCCCTGGTAACCCTTATCTATACATCATGATTTCACCATGACAGCCCCCCACTAACCTCACCCACCAACCCAGCCACCATGCACGTACCTGCCTCCCAGACTGCCTGGGTTTTGGGTGTATGGTCCCCGGTCCAGATTTCATCTAACTCAAGCTAAGTCTGACAGCTTTTTACTGCTGTGCCCTGCAGCTTCTATCAATGGGCAGAGCTAAATATAGGTTGACAAATCTTCCTCCCTGTGTGTGCGCTCCTATGGGGAGATAGCAGCCCTCTGTATCTCCTCTCTCTGTGCATCAGTGGAGGATGCTGGCTTTGCCTGCGTTTGCCCTGCTAGAGCTGGATAAACCTGCCCAGTGCCACTGTGAGCTGAAGTTAAAATGACTTTAGCTCAGGAGGCAATGGGAACTGTGAGTGTTTACACAGAGTGAGAGAAAGAGTGCATGAAGGAGACAATGAGAGTAAGTGATAAGAAAAAAGAGGCACGAAGGGTGAATGATAGCGCTGCAGCTAGGGTTGGGCAGTATCCGCTTGTTTCATACCTTCAACCATCTTCAAATATTACAGTAGTAAACGGTACAAAAAAATGGTATAAAAGCCTAAAAAAGTGTTGTGGCTTAGAAGCTTTTATGTCTCATTTGTCTCATTCTGAAATATTTCAAATTCAGAAACAGTCAAAAAGTTTTGTTCACTTACATGGTCACAAAAGAAGTGAATACAGTGCATGATGTTCAGGCCATCATTCAATAAATGTCAAACCATGTGTTTAACAATTGCTGAATGTTAAACAGTGCTGCTAACCTGGAGAGAAAAGCTGGTTAGCATTAGCTTAGCCAGCATGATAACAACTCTGCTCGCCACAGAACATCTTTAGTTCTGGCTAGCTAAAGCACTAAAATAAGGTAAGATAATAATGATCAAAATCTGAGGGAGTGGAGTCGAGCAGTTGGCGCTAAAGGGATACAAAGGCGAAATTAAACTAGTTCCGTAGTGTTTGGATCTGTAGCCTGAACAGCTAGCTTAACGTTAACTTAACAAGACCCAAACAGTGCCACACTTCACAGTACAGGTTTGATTCTGAGTAATGGGTGCTCTGCTGACTGTAGATGTTAAAAACTAATGTCTGAGACAGCAAATGTCGAGTGACTAGTGTTGGAATGACACAAAGCTGAAATCGAGCCTGTTCTGTGGTGTTAGGGACAGTAACATTGTGTCTAAACTAATGAGAGCTTAGTTAGCAGGCCAAACATGCCACACAGGCTCAGCTCAAGCTTCTGCCATGCTTCATTTTTCTCGGCTCTGATTTCCCTCTTTGTATTAGCACCAACTACAACTCCCACAGCACCAATCAATGAGCACCTCTGAAAGATAAATGACATACATATATGACTGGAGGCTGTTTAAAGGCAATAAACATTTCTGAGAAGTGTGTTTACATTAATCACACCAGGAAAATCGTAAGCCACTGAGCGATAATGTAGCAAGTTTTCATGTTCAATAAGGAGGAGGTTTGAGCTAAAAAAAGAAAGATGTTCCTTCAGAAGAGCTCATGCTAAAGCTCACACTGGAGCTAGTTGGTGCAACGTTATGTTAGCTACTTTGCTTGCTAGTTAGCCCACCTTATCAGGCTCAGAAAAAGCTTAAATTTTTCTTTGTCAATTTTGAAAATATGAGCAAAAACACTCGTTTTGTGGCTGCTACCATAAATGTTAATAGTGTTAGCTCCTAACTAGCTTATATCACCTTATGGCGAACTCTCTACATAGTATAATTCTAAAATAATGATCAACATACCATCCTAGTTTACATTCTAGTTCTCTTAATGGCCAGTTAAAAGTGTTTAGCAGCTTCATCTTCATCTGAAAGGGCAAATAATTCACTAAATTGCCTTTAGCTTTGGCTGCAAGTGTTACCAAAGACAAAGGATCCAGTGAAATGAAGACTACTTATAGCTCTGCTTGCTTTTGAAACTGGAAAACGGGAAGAATATAGTAAAATCCTTTACGTGCTTGGCTGTGTTTGACATTACAGCTTCGAACACAGCACGATTTATTGCAATTGCCAATATTTTGTCTGTTCTGTTGTATTTACTGTACATTTGTATCATAAATTGAGCTGC